TCTCATGCTTACCTTGTAGCCTACTTAGATCCCTACATCCGTTTCACATGTACTACTTTCAAGGTAGGTGTCATTTAATCTATAGTTGTACGGTTTATTTGTCCTCTTAGATGGTACATCTGATATGTATCACTGTTTAAACTAAAATGGGATCCACGACATGCAAGTGTGGAGAAGAGCAAACCATAGACCACCTATTACAATGCAGCCTGAGCCCTGCCACATGGACAGTGGAGGACCTTCTTATAGCGACACCAGAGGCACTCCAAGTAGCCAGCTATTGGTCAAAGGACATTTAATTGAATGCCAAGTTTTTAAACTTTGTGTTTTCTCAATTACATTGCTTCGCTCCCGATAAAATAAATAAATAAACAAATAAATAAATTTGTTACTTTCCAATCTGTCAAGATCACTTTGAATCCTGATCCTGACCGCTAGGATATTAAGTTCCTCCTGCTTCTCTCCCTTCACTGCCCCCCCCCCCCAAAGATCTGCAAATTTGTTGGGAGCACTATCCAGCAAAAATAAGTGCATCCTGGTATACCTGTTGAAGATCAGTGGCCCAACATTTGAAGTTACTTTCCCTTAGATACCCTTCTCTGGAAGCCATTAATCGATGGCATATGTTAATCTATTTTAAGCTAAAGCTGAGGTCAGTGCGTGGGGAGATGGGAGGAACACATTCATGGTCCAGGTGGCAGAAAAACTATCCAAGCTTATTTGAAACCAGCCTCCGGACGATGATATCAACTTTACTTAGTTTACTCTGTTTTAAACCCTCCAAGCTCTGCCAGCTTCACTATTTCACCACAGGGGCTGACAGTTTAATGTCTCCCCCACATAATTTTGCTTCCCAGAAGCTACCAGCTGGGAATATACACGGATGCTTTGTAAGGCACCTGAAGCAAAAGCGGTGACACTGAGGATGGATGGGCACACGCTGTGAAAAGGTGATGAGATTTTACCTTTTCTGCTGCAGGATGCAGTTCCCTGCAATAGCCTTCCTTATAAATAGTCACTGGTTTTTTTGGGGTTTTTTTTGCTTTTATATCTTCATTATATGTGCTAATACCAAACTGTTGGTAATGTCATTATGTGATACTTCTGATGAAAAAGGAAACAGCAACAATGAATTTGGTCATGAGAAAAAACAAACAGGTGATTTTCCCCTATTTCATTTGCCAGCAAGCAAGCATGATAAAACTGCAGTTGAACTTCCTTATCCACAAATTCTGCATCCACAGATTCCACCATCCACAGCTTGAAAATATTTTTGAAACATCGGAAAGCAAACCTTTGGGGGAACAATTTGCCATTTGAAATAAGGGACACCATTTTACTACTTCCTTCTATATAACGGGACTTGAGCATCCATGGATTTTGGTATCTACAGGAAGTCCTGGAATGAATCTTCAGGGGACACTGAAGGCCCATTGTACAAACATTGATTTTCCATTAACATAGCTCAAAAGGGTATCTATTATCTCCAGTCCGCTGTCCACAGGAAGGCAGAGAGCCTTAGTACTCCTTCTACTGACAATTCTAGAAACCAATGTAGCTACATAATTAAGCGAAGAAGGCCAATAAATATTGGGTAACTTCAGTTGCTGTGGTGGAGGGGTTTTCCACTTAGCCCTAGTTTCAAGAGGGACTACTTAAGGGGCTCCTCCAGTGTAGAGACCCATAAGTAGCAGATAAATTTGCATACACTCCAACATCACAGATGGAACTCCCTTCTTGGCAATATTAGATCAGCCCCCTCCCTCCTGGCTGTAGGACCAAGCCTTTGGGGCAGTGCAGTGAGGCAAAATGGTGTCCTGAGATGGTTTTTAAGCAACTTTTAATGTGGATATAAGTGATTTTAATGTTTGTATGTATTTATAGTTTTGTGTTCCGCAGTCCCGGCATTGAATGTTTGCCGTATATATGTTGTGCTCTGCCCCGAGTCCCCTGCAGGGTGAGAAGGGTGGAATATAAATATTTTAAATAAATAATAATAAATAATGAAACAGAGAAACGTGGCCAAGCAGCATCAGAGTTCAGTCAGCATGGCCAAAGTTGTTAATGAGGAATAACACTCCAACTAGAAAAGGCTGCAGCAGTTTGATTTTGCCTGAGTCTCTTGGGAAGGGCAGAATTCTGCCCTCTCTTCTCCCCCTTGCAGAGATAATTGAATTCAAGCTCCTTTAGTATTTAGGAATCTATGTACATTAGTCCTAAGTGTAGAGAAGTCCACAAATTCCAGACAAGCTTTTCAAGTCTGTGACCCTATGGTTTGAGTTAATAAAAAAAGAGGGCTGTAATTTTCTCCCACCCATCTGCTGTGGCCATCTTCAGCATTGGGTTATATTTAGCAGGTGCGTGAGAGGATGCGCCAGACCCAGCCAAACCAGCCGCTTGTTAATCGTTTCCGGTTACAGCTGTTCTTGAATGTCTGTGCTTCATAGCTGGAAGAGCTTCATGCTGGATAAGGCTTGAGAAGTTAAAAATCAAAAGGATGTGGAACAAGTGTGTCCCTTCACTGTGTTGTATAAAGAAGCAACCTCTCTTCAGAGCAACCTTCTTGGATCACAGGCACCCACCTGGCTTTGTGACTGATTTGGTTCGCATTGATTAGGAAAGAGCTTGGAAAATTCTGGCTGTGGAAGTTGTCATCAATTTCCCAAGCTCTTTTCCTGGGAGAGTATCTTGCTATGACAGCCAGTTCTCAGGACCTTTAGACACTCTTCTTCAAGTACACAAGACAAAGGAACGAAATCTAAGAGTAGGGCCATTTGCTTTGTTATCCTCATGTTATACTTGGTGCTTTTATTTGGTGTATTTTCTGCAGCTAAGGTTGATGCCAGATATAATTGGTGAGTTACCCATGACTTTATGACATCACCAAGGCCAAATTCCTGTGACATCACAAGCAGTCATCTCCAAATCTCAGGGTCTGAAATCTGTGCAGTCCAAAATCATGAAAACAATGAATTACAATGACTTACATGACTCAATAGGGACCAGAACTTTGATCTTCCAAGACTTTGGAAATGGCTACTGGTGGTAATTAGCCATCCAAACTTTAAAGGAGCTATCCCATAGTCTGAATTTATCTAGGTCTGTGGTTACCAACCTGTGGTCTTTGGACCACCAGTGGTCCACAAGAATGAAAATATGGTCCGCTGCCTCATCATTATTCCATTGCCTCGAAACCATGCAGCAATGGAATGACTGGCCTCACAAAACCCTCTTATAGTGCTGAGGCAACAGGGATGTCAGGAGGGGAGAGGCTGACTACCCATGAAAGTTTACATTATTAAATATGGTCTATTAATCAGCTCTAGATTATTAAATATGGTTTTCTGTGGGTGGGCAGATGGCGACTACTAAATGACATATGTTCTGTATCAGAAATGGATGTAGTCTGTCCAATGCAATTTTCTAAATCAGTACCCAAATAATCAAACCGAATCTAAAGTTGACCAAAAACTGATTTGTAATCCTTTTGGTACTAATATTGGAGAGTGGTCACTGGTCAAGTGGTATCCAGTCAATGTGGTCCCTGGTCAAAAAATGGCTGGGAACGACTGATCTAGTAATAAAAGAGCTATCTATGAGAGCACCTTGGATAGTTCTTCAAAGTTTAGACAAAAGCCTGGAGGGGATTCACTGCCCCAATGATACAGGAGTTGCTAGATTCACTGTGATCATATAAAGATGGAAAGGGAAGTTATTTAAATCTGATTCCAAAGAGGGAAGCTACATGAAAAATGAGCCCAAAATGAAACTAGAGGAAGAAGGGGAAAGAGGAATGACAGAATCCTAATAGGATGGAGTAAACTGTAGTATTTCAGGCTGTAGGCAAGAAATATTTATTCAGAGTCCTATCCTAGTATAAATTAGAATAAGTGGTAGAGCATGGTGCGTTGTGTTGTTTAAAGAGAAATATGGAATAAGGAAGCACTTTTTAAATACAGTGGGCCCTTGGTATCTATGGAGGTTTGGTTCCAAGACATGCCATCAATGCCAAAACCCATGAATGAACAAGTCCAATTATATACCACAGCATAGTGAAACAGTGTCCCTTACTAAAAATGGCAAAATGTAAAGGTTTTTTGAGGATTAGGAGGAGGTTTGATCCATAGATATTGGAATCAACGAATGCAGAATGCATAGACATGAAGAGCCAACAATCAGAGCTTGGTCAGATATAAAACTGTGAATTGTGTTCAATTATTTTTTATCAGAAAATCCCCACATTTCACTTTAAATGTAATTGAAGAACTGTATGATATTTTTTAATGAGTGTGGGGAAAAATTAAGCAGGTGAATTAATTTTTCAAATACAGTGGCGTTCCAGGCAAGGATTAGAACACCTCCTCATTTTACTTAAACTCAACCTCTTTATTTACAAATATACAAATTGAGTCAGTAGTACAACAGCATATAAACAAGTGCATAGGCAAATAGTGATAAACTCACAGCAGCATCAATTGCTTGTCCATGTCCAATCCATGCCAAGCAGACTTTGAATGACAGGACACCGTGGACCACAATAAGACATATGCATATTTTTTTTTCAATTTGAGCAGTGTTGTTGTGGAAAGTAAGGCAACTCATTTCCAATCCATTCATTCAAAGGCAATTCTAAGTGAACCCTATTTGGTCAGGCCAAGAAAAGGTGGGATGAAATAGAAAGGTTTCAGGACCCAGTAAATATGACTCTGTGACTCCTTTACTTCCAAGACAAGAACTAGAAGAGCCTAAAATCAAATCTATGGGTTTTTGATCCAGAGTTTAAAGATGGAACTAGAAAGACAATATTCCTACGGGAAAAGGAGAGTGGGTCCCTGAGGTATTTTGTGCTTATTGGGGGCAACTTGCTTTATTTTCTAAAAGTGGCAGCTTTTTCTGTGTTGCCCTGGCTTGTTTTCTCCCTACTAAGAACAAGGTATTGCCTTGGTGATGTACAGTTTTGGTCCCTCAGCCACTAAGGCAAGATTCTGAATTGGTGGTAACATCTTCACCCTTTTCCATTTGACTAGCCTGGGTCTTTAGCACCGCCGACTGGTACCAAGAAGTTCCCTGCTGGACCAGGCACAGCTCTGGACCTCTGGCACCAACCATGGTAATTTGATGTAATTCATGACCTCTTTGGCATGACTACGGTGAGCTGGGTTGGGTCTCAGCAGACCCTGCAGCATCTCTAATGCCTCAGGGGTGAAGCGCTCCCAATGGGGTGGCTGTGGGGCAAAGCGAGGGCTGCGATGCCAGCTGACAAAGCTGCGGTAATGTCGGTCGGCAGGGATAGCTGTGAGCCAGGGGAAGTAGCCAGTTAACACGCAGAAGAGCAACACTCCCAGCGCCCAAGTATCAAGGCTGGGTTGGGCCTCCATGCGGGCTTTAGGACCGAGAACACACAACTCAGGTGCTGTGTAGGGCAGGCTCTCGGGCAAGGCTTCAATGGCCCGGCCTCGTGGGCAGCTTAGCCCAAAGTCTGTCAATTTGATGCGTCGGCATTCAGGGTCACACAGCAACACGTTCTCTGGCTTGACATCACGGTGAACCAGCCCTTTGGTTTCCATGTACTCCAGGGCACTGGCAAGCTGGAGGACACAGCGCTTCACCCGCTGCTCAGGTATACCAACCTGGAGAAAAACGGAAGAATCCAAAAATCAGACAAAATTCCCTGAAGTCGGTGAGGAATGCCATGCATTACTCCTGAGTTTTCCACTGAGAACAATGGGGAAAAGCACATTCTAAATCTACAATAAGGAGATGCTGCGGCATGTGAGTGAAGAATACTTTTTCCTTTCTGTATTTCTCTCATTTAATCTTTGCATGTATGTACATTGTAGAAAAAAATGCAGTTTGATACCACTTTAACAGCCATGGTCCAATGCTATGGATCATAGGAGTTGTCATTTGATGAGACCCCAGTCCTCTTTCCTAAAGAATACCTTCTACAATGCCCATGATCATACAGCATTGGACCATGACAGATAAAGTGGTGTCAAACCGTTTTAATTCTATAGTGTACCTAAGGGATCCCCAAACTCAGGCCTGCATGGTGGACATGGCCCTCCAAAGTCATTTACCTGCCTTTGTCCTAAACTGTAGACTTAGGGTTGTCATAAGTCTGAAACGACTTGAAGGCACACAACAACATCAACAACAACAACAATCCTGATTAACTTGACTATCTCATCAGTCGAAAGCAGACCCACACTTCTCATTGAAACACTGGTAAGTTTATGTTGGTAAGAATTGTTCTTCATTTTAAATATTGTATTGCACTACAAAAAAGATATGTAGAGTTTCTTTCCTTTCTTTTCCAAATTATAGTTTGGTCCCCCAACAGTCTGAGGGCCTGCAAATGGGCCCACTGCTTAAAAAGTATAAGGACACCTGGTGCAGATGCAGAAGCTGGTTTTAAAAATGTGAAACTTTGGAAGGCATAATTTGCCAGTTGCCACACTTGGCTATCAGTATAATTTTATGTTTGGTTGCCCTTACCTGTGGTACCATGAGAGAGAAGAGGTCCCTGGATAAAGCCAATTCTTGTGCAAAGACATAATGTTTTGGGGTTTGAAAGGCAATTCCCAGGGCCGTGGCAATGCAAGGATGGGCCCCCAAAGTCAGTGCGATGCAGTATTCGCTCAAGAAATCCTGCAATTCGGTATCCTTCTTGTGTACAAATTTCAGAGCCATGGGAGTTCCTGAAAGAGAGGAGAAACTTTTAAAATGTCCAATTTGTGAGTGAGCAGAGAGCTTAAGGGGATTTGAGTTCTCACTTCAAATAAACCTGCATCCTCTCAGGTTGACATAAGTGCTGATTATGCACTTATGTCAAAACTGCCATGGTTCAATGCTATGGAATCATGGGAATTGTTGTATTGTAAGTTCTTTGATCTTCTTTGCCAAATAATGCTGGTGACTCGTCACACTACAAGTCTTTCATAGCATTTAGCCATGGCATTGAAAGTGTTGTCAAACTGCATTAAACCTTCAGTGTAGATGCACCCTATGTTACTGCCTTCTATTTCTCATTTTGGAGAGCCAGATTAAAATGATATACATGTTTCTTGGTTTCAGCAGGAGGAAATCCTGCTCTTACCCATCCTCTAAGAATTCCCTCCCCACCATTTCAACTACTACTTCACCAACTACTACTTCACTCTTAGCTCTGCACTCTGGATGGAATAACAAAGGCTGGCTTAGACAATGCTACAATTTTCATGATAGGGAAATACAATTAATGTTATTTGATGCTGTAAACAAATGACCATTCTGTGGATAACTGATGAGGTGACGAACTCGTGATTGGCCTTTATCATCTCAAAACATATGTGAAGGGCCACATAGTAAAACTGTTTATCAGTATGAACAATCCCCAGAAAAAAACTAGTACACTGAGTAGAAAAGGTCCAGCCTTGTCCTTGATATGATAGTTTTCTAGGAGCATGTATCTGTTTGGGTAGGGGACGGGATGTAGAACTCTTCAATGCGGTGAGTTCACTTGTATTCTGGTATGGTTCAGTCCAAAAACATGGTATCACATCATTGAGAATTAAACTCTAGATGGGCATTGAAAGAGAAGCACACTGTGTTTTCTTCTTACTCCTTATGCCCCTGTTCTTAGCTCTACTGCATTAGTTCCAAATTCAGTTTCATAGCCTTTCCCATCCCTTCCTCCACCTCCTTGCTTTTGACATACCTTGGAGTTGGTGGACTGCCATTAGCACATGCCCATACGAACCACTGCCCAGTTCACGGAGGATGGTATAACTACTAGCCACCTCCACCTGAGGTAGGTTCTGGGCTGTCAGGAGCACCATCTCTTCCAGTCGTTTCGCAATGTCACCGGGGACGAGCTTCATGGCTACAAAGGGGATGATAAATGGGAATTCAAAAGACTACCAAGAAGTGGCTGTTTACTTCCATGTGCAATGGTTTGCATATGTCTACCAAATAGTGGAAATAATCATTCCGTAGTCTCCCTGGGTTTTCAATGTGAAATAGGCACGTGGCATAATTTTATTTTGAATAATAGAATGTAAACATATTGCCATATGATGTCATTTCTAAACAAATCTATGAAAGGGGTTAAATATGCAGTGAATTCTCAACATAGATTGTAAACATAAGAGGAAATGAGTTGTGTGTGTTCAATTTAAAGAAAACTTAATGGGGTGGAAACTAAACAGAATTGTAACAGTAAGGAAGGCACAGTTTTATTCTCTGCTGTCTCAAAGTATAAGACTAAGTCTAATGGTTTAAAGTTACAGAAGAGCAGACTTTGATTGAACATTGGGAGAGGCTTCTTGATGGTAAGAACAGTTAGGCAATGGAACCAATTTCCTGTGGAAATCGTGATGTCTCTTTCTCAAGACATCTTCAGACAGGGGCTAAGCAACCTTAGCTGGAGATGCTTTAGCTGGCATTCCTCAGCAGAGAAGGAGTTTTCCAACAAATTTGTCCCATAATGAGGTATCCTTCCCTTCGTTCTCTAACATCTCCGAAGTCATACCTAACCAGCATGTATTCCCATGTGACAGCTATAATTCCCTTTGGCACAACTTCAGATATGACAACATTGGACAGATGACATAAACAGGGAGCCAAGTATTGGGTTAGGTTGCAAACGTAATTGCCTTTGGAGTACAGCTAGATGCTGTCTGGTTTTTATTTTTATTTTTTGCTTCTAAAGCGCAAAGCACAGAATCCTTTTCCTGCTGGGTGGAGAATTTATTCCAAAAGAACCATCCAGAAGATCCCTGGTAGATGTGATGGTAGGGGCCTTGCCTTCACCAAAGAACCATGTGTGCAAGAGGCTACAACAGGTATTGGCAAATTTCAGCCCTCCAGGTGTTTTGGACTTCAACTCCCACAATTCCTATCAGGATGTTAGGAATTGTTGGAGTTGAAGTCCAAAACACCTGGAGGGCTGAAGTTTGCCCATGCCTGAGCTATAGTAAACAATGCAACAGAATTCATCCTGAGGACAATGCTACAAACAGGAACAGGGCCCAATGCAAATTGCCCTGGCTGCTCTTCCCTCTGAGAAACCTTGGCTAGAATTCAGACACTGAAGTGGTAAGAAGAGACCTTTACTATCTTGTGTGCTGAATGGCTTTTTTCACACCACAATCACAACCAATGTAATTTGCAAGCAAGTGGGTTTCAGCCCCAATATAATACAAGTATCTGGTGGATAGGATAGGCAGGTAGCAATTTAAATTTGCACTTCAGGTGACAGTAATGCATTTCCACAACAGCAGCATGTTGGGAAACGCCTCTGCAAGTGCCTTTGAGCTCAGCGTGGATCACCTGCAAATGCTTTTGGTGCAGAAAAGAAAACAAAGGAAAGAGGCATTGAAAACTCAATGTGCTTTTGTTGCTTTTAAGATTTGCATATGCATCACTATCCCAGGCATTTGCAAGCAGCACTCTGTGCCTCAGACATCAGCTTACCTGCCACGGCAGAGCTGGAGCACTTGCACCTTTCCTTGTCCAGAGTGTCTTGTTGACTTGCAGGGTTTTCACCCCTGCCTCAGTTCTTCGATTGCTACCTGCTGTGTGTAGATCCTTGTGAGCCTTTTATAGAGACCATTTTCCATCTGGTTCAGTCCAGCCCCACAAACAGGGAAAGGGGCCAAGCCACCCCTCTCTCTTTCCTTGCTCTGCTCTAAAAGGTCAGTGCTCTGGAGTCCAAGCGGTTTCATGGGGCAAGATTAACAGCCACTTACCAAGGTTATTTTTACCTCCAGTGGCCCAGCTGCTTTTACGCTTATGTCCCAGATGTTCCTGGAAAGAAGGATTCTCTCTTTCTTCTTCTTTTTCTTTAAGGCATAAATGGTTCAACTTTAATGGCACAAAGCATATCAGACTAGAGAAGAAATACACCTGCACCTATACAAGCTGCTTTTTTTCCGGTTGGGGAATCTAAGCTGTTAGGCTCAAAAATAACCCTCAGTTGGGATGATTCCATCATAAATATAGCAAAGTGCTAGAAGCAAACTTCATAACCAGCAGAAACTTACATGTGGTGAGCCAGGATAAGCTTCCATTCAACAGGATTGCACAAGATTACAGAGTCACAACTTTAAGTTCAAATACATTTATTGAAGTAAAAAAGAAATCCATTCTCGATAGAAAAGGTCTTGGAGCTGACTAGATTACTAAATCTCATCTTCTAAGAAGTAAAAGGGTAAAAAGCCAAAAATATCCATGCAACTACATTTTGCCCGGAGAGAGGCAAAAATGCATCAATGTTGTGGCTGATAGGAGAGAGAGTACCAAGAGCGATCCTTTGTTGAGGCAGAAAAGTATGGTTTTATTTTTAGCTGAGACCCTGGCATGGAATCTTCTCCAAAAGCAAACCAGAGTGAGGATAAAGGCATTAACTTTCCCTTTTATACGTCTTCAAATGCAGGCAAACAAAGAAACATGCTCCTACATTTGTTAACACCATCACTACTTCACTTTAGCATCGTACAAAAATCAAATTATATCTTTCTACATGCATGGGGCACATCTCTGAATTCAGCTTTACAGCAAGTTAGAGATATTAGGATTCAACTTACACAGATTCATCAATTTATTTATTTATTTATTTACTTTGCTTGTATACCGCAGTTTCTCAGCCCGTAGGCGACTCAACGCGGTTCACAACAAGAGCAAAAGACAATCCAACAACATACAATATTAAAACCAATCAAGGGGCCTATTTTGACCTGTCAAGGGGAAGAGAGCATCACTTCTTTTTACCTCTATCTGTCCGTGCTAGGTTGTTCTTATTTCCCCCCTGGAAAGTTCACCCCACTCTTGCTTGTGCCTTGGACACAGATCCTTCAGCATCCTTTTTGTCCTGTCAGCTTGGCTTCCTAATAGAGAGAGAACCTGATTTTTCTCACATTTCAGGGCTTCTAATGTACATACAACATATGTATAAATATCTGTATTTCTAATATCTCCTCATCATCCTGACTAGAAGGAAAAGAAGGCAGAGAGAGCAACAATGGAGGGTGACCACATGGCCAAACCCAGGGCAATAAAAATACAAGTAAAAGGAAGTTACGTCATACTCCACAGAGATTCCATTGCTACATCTTCAAAGCGGGAGGAGATAGTGGCAAGCAAGAAGAGTAAAGACAAAGGCCCCTTCTGGGATAAGCATGCATAAGAATGGGGGAGGGGGGAGGAATCCGTCACTCTAATCCTATCTCTAGTCTAGCTACTCATTGAGTTCTGGAGACTTGATGACACAAGAGATTTCTGCAATCCAGGGATGAGATGCAACATTTTCTCTTGCTAGTCCAAGCTTCTTAAGATCTACCAAAGCACATCAAAAGGTAACCATGGGTTGTAGATGTTGCAAGACATCAAAAGGGCAGCTCCCACTAGCAGTTACTCTTAAGCTTCCTGGCCTTTCCCCTCTTTTAGAGGACTGGTGTTTTAGGGCTAGTCTACACAAACTTGGGAACATCCGATAAACATTCTGAGTCTTTTGCTCTCAACTCAATTTTACTGCACTTTGCTTAAAGTTGAGGGATACCCTAGATCAATGGTTTTCAAACCTTCCTAATGCCGTGACCCCTTAATACAGTTCCTCATGTTGTGGTGACCCCCAACCATAACATTATTTTTGTTGCTACTTTATAACTGTAATTATGCTACTGTTATGAATTGTCATGTAAATATCTGATGGCTGAGGGGGAATTTGAACCCTGGTCTCCTAGACCAACACTCAAACTACTATAACATGCTGGGTCCTTTTTCTTCTTGCCAGTTCACAACTTTGAGTCATCTTCCAAATTGGTGAAGTCAACTAAAATACAGAAATGCCGCCTTTAAGCAGCAAACTCCTTTGGATAGCTCTGGGACAGATGTGGCCAAACATCACCAGAGTATGGTCAAGATAACAAAAGTTCTCACACTAGCTACTGGGAAGGGCAAGATTTTGCCTTCTCATGTCCTGAATTAATTGTGTACAATCAATGTTTGTACTTTGCATTCGGTTTGCACCAATGGGACCTTAACAAGACCTTAACAAGGCTAGTTTTCCTCAGTGGACTAACTATGGGAGACCCAAGTTTTGTTTAGCAGTATCTCTTTCTTTACAAATGGACAGGAACAACAAGCAATAAACAAACAGGAATAATTTGTCCAGCACTCTCACATTTTAAAAATCTGCTTTTGCTCGCCAGGAACATCTTAGTGGAACTTGTTTTCCTTTGGCTAAATCCAAACAGCACAAGCTATCCCTTTTCCAGCCCCACAGGGGCACATTCCAGTGGCTGAAAATAGCCACTGTCCATCAAATAACAGGCAATACACAAATTTTTATCAAGAAGCTGCCATTTTGCACCATTCCTCTTTCATTTGGGCAGATGCCAGATTCAAATACACAATAGTGCCTGAAGATCACATTCAGGACAAGGAGCCAAGCTCTGGGATACTTTGAGGAAGGACACAGATTAAATCAATGAATAAAGAAACCCTCTCATGATTTATGACTGCCACCAGAACCACAGTATCATATTGCTGGAAGGGGCCTTATGGGTCATTGCATCCAACACCCTCCAGCTCGATGCTAAAACATCCCCAGGGAAGTTGCTGTCCAGCTTTTTTTGAAGATGCCCAGAAGCCCTCCAGGCTATTGGACCAAATGTATTTATGAATTTTATAGTGCCTTTACTGATTTGTCATTCTCAGTTGTCTGCATGGCTGACAGATGCATAAAACACACACCACTTTTGCTCAGATAGGGCACAGCAGGTTGCTACTAAAAAAAGTAGACCTAGTTTTCACCATGGTCATACAGGTACGTTTTATATGGACCACTTTAAATTACTGAAGAGGCTCAAAAGATTAAATGTTCACTCACACAAACTATTTTTAAAATCAACCATTTAAGATACCAGTTAGGATTGTCCCAAGCCTGAGGTTTTGGGGTCAAAACCTGAGACTTGGGGACAAGCTCGAGTGACACCAAGTAGCATGATGGATTAAGTACCAACGATTCTTGCTCACAAGTTGTCAAATAGAAAGAGGAAGGAAACAAAGTTTGGACAGAAATTTTAGCTAAAGGAGCTGTTCCCAAATCAAGGTGAAATGAGGAAGTTATTCCTTCTTGCTTAGGGAGATGGGATATGGAATATTTCAACTAGCATGCTTACTTCTAACCAGAAGGCAAAGTGGAAGGAAGGGAGCATTGTTCCTCTACCAGTGAAGAGGTAAATGATAGTTAAGTTTCTGTCTTTTTTTGGTTGTGGAATAAATATTGCAAGGTTTACCAAGGATTCAGAAACTTTCAGAAGTTTGCCTTTTGACAACTATTTGTACACTCATGCTATTTAACGTAAAATTAACTCCTGTACCCTGGGTTGGAAAACTTTGGATAAGTATAATGAGCTATCTTGGAGATAGGACCCAAGTCTAAACACAAACGTCATGTATGTTTCATGTGCACTTTATACACATAGCCTGAAGTTCATTTATACACAATATTTTAATATATAGTGGCTTGTTGTAGGTGTTTCGGGCTGTATGGCCATGTTCTAGAAGCATTCCCTCCTGACATATCGCCAGCATCTGTGACAGGCATCCTCAGAGTTTGTGAGGTCTGTTGGAAACTAGGAAAATTGGGTTTATATATCTTTGGAAGGTCCAGGATAGGAGAAAGAACTCTTGTCTGTTGAAACTAGTTTGTGAATGTTTCAGTTGGCCACCTTGATTAGCATTCAATGGCCTGACAGTTTTTAGGTTTGGCTTGTTACTGCCTGGGAAAATCCTTTGTTGAGAGGATTTTTCAACAAAGGATGCCTTCCACAGATGCAAGCGAAACGTCAGGAGATAATGCTTCTAGAACATGGTCATACAGCCCAAAAAACCTACAGCAACCCAGTGATTCCAGCCATAAAGGCTTTGATAATGCATGAAAATAGTTTGTGCACATTGAACTATCAGAAAGCAAAGATGTTACTATCTCAATCTCCCATGTGGACAATTTTGGAGGGTTTTGAATCCAGGAATTCTGGATAAGGGATACTCAAACTGTGCCAAATTTCCTGATAATTGATCTTGAAGATGAACACATTAAAATAGAGAAATTCTTTCCTAGAACATTGGTTTCTTCTGCCCAATAGGTTAGTTAATTTGCACCATTGTCATTTTGTTGGCTGAAGACTTTTTGCAGCGAGGCCCATCTGTTTCCAGAAGGATCGTTCATACCCACCTGCTTGGTAGTAACTTGTCCCTCAAGAGGAGACAGATTTGCCCTGACCTTTCCTTATCCATTGGCAGCTTTTGCCTAGCATGCGGACTGCCTTCTGCCAATGGGGGCTTATTGATGTCCAAATGCAAGTTGCCTCTGGGGACGGACATGGGGGGCTTAAGTAGGCAGGTGTGAAATACACTGTTTGTTGTGCCCCATGGCTGGGTTTCCATGGAGAGTCACACACCGGAATGGTTTCTTGCTAGAGAAGCAAAGGGAGACATTCTAAAAAGCTTGTTTCAATATCCAAGCTGAGCTTTTAACAAACCCCATGGGCACCGTAATACAGTCTAAGGTGTTTACTGGAAAAAAACAGGTCATCTTTCCTTGGGTTACACCCACACTCAGCTGTGTTCACTTCACAGTCGGGACAATGGGTATCAAAAGGAATGGGAACTTGTACACCTCTTTATCTTGAAGTAAATTCTTTACTGCAGGTTACAGATTCAAGAAACAAGTCCATACTCTGGAACTGAATGGAGTGGTTAGGGGCATTCAAGTTTAATCCTTTCTTGTTTCATGTACCAGTTGCTCTCTATTTCCACTTTTCCTCTTTATCCTCAAGCTCTCTTCAGACTCAACTGAGTTTGCTTTCAATTAACAAAGCCAGGAAGAGAGGAGTGGACTTGGGTCCCTGTATTGGGATGAAGATGGGGACAAAAATAAAGTAAGTAAGTAAATAAATACATAAATAAATAATGTTGCCCTTCCCAATTGATTCAGGCAAAAGCAAACTGCTAGAATGCATTTTTTCCTACCCTGTTTCCCTGAACATAAGACAGGGTCTTATATTCCTTTTTGCTCCAAAATATGTGTTGGGGCTTATGTATAGCTGCCTAGGCACTATTTAAATTAACTTTTTAAATAGTAAATTGTAACTAGGGCTTATTTTTGAAGTAGGGGTTATATATTTTGATCAACCTCAAAATCCTGAAAAAATTGCTAGGCAGGTCTTTTTTTCCGGAGTAACAGGGCAATTAATAATGTCTATATTCACACTTGCCTCAAGCAGACAAGAGTTCTTTCTCCCATTCCACAGATACATAAACCTCACTTGTCTAGTTTCCAACAGACCTCACAACTTCTGAAGATGCCTGCCATAGATGTGGGCAAAACCTCAAGAGAGAATGCTTCTGGAACATGGCCATATAGACTGGAAAATTCACAGCAACTCAATATCTATATTCTTGACCACACTCTGAAGTCACTTGGCCACAACTATTCCAGTTCTCATTTGTAAAAGGTTGGATGATATGCAGTTCACCACACCCATTATCAGTTTCCTTCTGCTGAATACAAAGTGAAGGAGCCCTCATGGGTCTGTCTCCTAAAACATGTGATGGTGGCCACTATGGTTACCAGTATGAAAATTAGACACAGCTTATCTACTTTAACTGTAAAAAGGTAAGGGTAAAGGTTTTCCCCTTACATTAAGTCCAGTCATGTCCAACTCTGGGCGGTGGTGCTCATCTCCATTTCTAAGCCATTGTCCATAGACACAGTGGCCGGCGTGACTGCATGGAGCACCATTACCTTCCCGCCAAAGCGGTACCTATTGATCTACTCACATTTGCATGTTTTCAAACTGCTAGGTTGGCAGAAGCTGTGGATGACAGCGGAAGCTCATGCAGCTCCCCAGATTCAAACCTGCGACCATTCGGTCACCAAGTTTAGCAGCTCAGCGGTTTAACCCACTGCGCCACCAGGGGCTCCACTTTAATTGCAGAGGTGTGAATTTCAAGGGGTATTGCTTGTCATGTAACCTGGGTAACATGCAACACTTGCTGTAGTGTCTCCTACACAACCATCAACCACCTCCCCTTTTCCACTTTGGCGACCCTTCTAGTCCAGAAGTAGTTTGTTACTTCATCACAATCAAAGCTCTTCCTGGAACACAGTGCCTGAGGCCACAGTCCTGAGCGTGTTGCTTGTTTTAATGATCCCAGTTAAGTTTTGCCTGCTGGTGTGAATTGTGTTGAAGCCAACATGCCCTGTTAATTCTGAAGATTTACAGCTGTCTTTGAAGTGTACTAATGAATATTGCCTCATCCGTTCATTCCCCTTTTAATTGGGTTACATGATCTCGAGCAGGACATGATCATTGACCTGTGAAGGATCCAGATCCCTTATCTCAGGAGACCTGCATCTATGGCAACCACCTCCCTAGAAACACCTCTGTTTGCTCCTCTCTTGGAGTCAGGATTGTTCTGTTGCCATGGCTGCAGATCAGTCACAAGCCTCCATCCCTTTATCCAGAGCGGGCAACGGTTCTGTCCCTTTTTGTTGCCCATTGTTAACTGGCTCTCAGGAGGTGCTGCTGGCAATCTTCCATCCTTTGGGTGGCATATTTACACTTCGTGAACCCCAGGCAACAGCTGCGGATTTGGGTTCTGTTTACCTTGGCAAAGAGCACTTTCTGCTGATCGTTGCCTTGGTTGAATAATAAGAGGATCATCACCCAGCTAGTAATTTGAACAGGAGGATGAGCTTCAAACACACACACACACACACACAGAGAGAGAGAGAGAGAGAGAGAGAGAGAGAGAGAGAGAGAGAGAAATAGACCAATGTCTTTAAATGATGTGTTTTCTGCTGCCCTGGAGACTAGGACGTGGAACAATGGCTTCAAACTACAGGAAAGGAGTTTCCATCTGTAGTATGGTAGAGTCTCGCTTATCCAACCTTCACTCAGCCAGCATTCTGTATTATCCAACACAGTCTGCCTCCCGCCCAGATCCACAGCTGTTTCAATACATTGTGATGTTTTAGTGCCAAATTTGTAAATACAGCAATTACTACATAATGTTGCCATGTACTGAACTGCTTTTTCTGTCGATTTTTTGTAAAACATGATGTTTTGGTGCTTAATTTGTAAAATCATAATGTAATTTGATGTTTAATAGGCTTTTCCTTGATCCCTCCTCATTATCCAACATTTTTGCTTATCCAACATTCTTCTGGCCCGTTTATGTTGAATAAGCAAGACTCTGCTGTATTATAAATCAGGAGTAGGAATTGTGCAACTCTGTGGATATTTATGCACTGCAGCTTCCAGCAGACTAAACCAGTATAGCCAATGATAAGGAATGCTGAGAGATGGATTACAAAACCTGGAAGACCAATAACTACTTCTGATGTATGGTTTCTCCCTCCTAACCTCAAGAACCCCATGAGGGAGGTTAGGCACAGATGTAGTGACTGGCCTCACATACTCCAGAAGACATTGATTGGACATCTCCCAGTATGCTATCCATTGCCCCATTATCACTCTCCTGCCTGTATTCATATAATAGTGTTAAACTGCTTTGAAAGACTATTAAAAAAGACATTGACATTCTTTTAGGTGTGTGCATTTTAGTCTTCCAGAGTCATTTGCTGTGGCAAGGTAAAGTTTTTATGATGTTTTCATCTCGAAAGTTGTAGATGTTGCTTCTGAATTTTAACTACTTATCATGCACAGGGATTTTTTCTACTTTTTTTACTCAAAAAACAAAAAAATGAATGTGACAGAAATTTCCCCCAAGAAATCTATTTCATTTGTTTGGGTTATTTTCCCCTCCAAACAAATAAGGCTAAGAAGTACTTAAAACAAGCATCCCAACCTGCATTTTTGGAAACTGTAGAATATCCTTTATTCTACATCAATGGTTCCCAACCTATGATCCATGGACCACCAGTAGTCCACAAGAACTAAAATATGGTCTGCAGCCTCATCGTTACTACACCGTTGCAACGAGACCAACTGGCCCCACAGAACCCTCTTATAGTGCCGAGGCTTATTAAATATGGTTTTCTGTGGGTGAGCAGATGGTGACTACTGGATGGCATATGTTCTGTATCAGAAACTAGAGCTGATGTGGTCCATCCAATGCAATTTTCTGAATCAACACTCCAAATAACCAAACTGAATTTAAAGTTGACCCAAAATTGGTTCGTAACCCTTTTAGTACTAATGTTGGAGAGTGGTCCGTGGTCAAAGTGGTCCCTGGTCAAGTAGCCCCTAGTCAAAAAAAAAAAAAAAGATTGGGAACCACTGTTCTACACCCACAATTATTCATGTGGACACAGGGCAATTCAGTGCTCCATATAATATGTTGGGATTTCTATTGGGGTCAGAAAACAAATTGCCAATGAAAAGACTTTGTGATTTTATTTGCCTAGAAGAGAGCTAATATGAAAATAAATGGTGCAGATGGTAATAGCTTTCCACCCAAACATATGGTCATCTATGTCACAACCTGAATTCACTGCGCAATCTTAAGGCTCTGAAATGAAAGCAAACTGGCCGACACGGAAATCTGTGTATATCCATCAACACCAAACTGCCCTCTGAGAAGCAGACCACACAGCTGCTGCAACCGCAAATGGACTGAAAGGAAAAACAAACAAAATGAAAGTCCAATACATGTTGGTGCAGGCTACCATACACCAGGTCTGTTGCACCACCACCTGGCAATGTAAAGAATGGCAGGCACTGCTCATGGTAAGAGTTGTCCTATGTGTACAGACTCAGGAGCAAGCCCCACTGAGGCCCCTTCCACACTGCCATATACAATCCAGGACGGAAACATCACCCAGCTTAACACATAGACTTGGAACTTGGATCTTTTTATCTTACCCTCTTTAACACAAGCATTAAGAAACTCAGTATAGCATAAATGATGAAAAAACAGTTCAGCCTTCCTACCTGCCTCTTGTGAGTCAGTGCTGCAAATATTAAACAGGACACATCAGACATGTTTCATTCACAGAGAATTGGGTGATGGATTTGTTTTTAAGTTTCTCTGGCTGTACTTATGTAAATAAATTGAGATCAAAAGAGGAGATATCAAGGAATCCTCTACTTCATACTTTAATGAATCATCCGCACAAAATGCAGCAAGCAATCCATGCCTTTCCCTTAACACATGCCAATCCTTTTCCCCACCCCAACCCATGTATTTTTTGGATGTCATATCACTCCCAAGTGGCCCTTCTATTTCCCAATGCTTCTTTGTGTTCTTTAAAAAGAAATCAATATTTTCCCAATACTAAAGAACTTTTATGCTTGATTGATCCCAGACCACAAGTTGAGAACCACAGCTCTATATAATGGAATGGTATAGAGCTGTGGTTCTCAACCTGTGGGTCCCCAGATGTTTTGGCCTTCAACTCCCAGAAATCCTAACAGCTGGTAAACTGGCTGGGATTTCTGGGAGTTGTAGACCAAAACAACTGAGGACCTACAGGTTGAGAAACACTGATATAAAGTGTTTCTCAAACTCTGCTCCTCAAGATGTTTTGGACTTTAGCACCCAGTAATCTCAGCCCTCTTACCAGCTGTTAGGAATTGTGGTAGCTGAAGTCCAAAACACTTGGTGGAGCAGAGTTTGGGAAACACTGGTATAGAGAAATGTTTATTTATCCCAGCAGTTTCCACTCCTTGATCCAGCTACCACCAAGACGATGGCCTGCCAAAATAAGAAACACGAATAGGAAAGAGAAATGTTGTGTGTCCACATCCATGTGCATGAGTGTGATCTTTGTGAACCCCAAAAACCCACAGTGTCACTTTAACCTTTTTGTTGCTGTTTAAAGACTTTGGAAATATTTGGTGGAAACATCTACTCCCTTGGTAGAAGCAAAGGAGTAACTGATAAAAGAAATAAGGATATTGGGATTACATGTCTCTCTCTTGCCCTTCTTCTTGGGAATATTTATTTTCTGGATACAAATGAAAAGGGCAGGAAAGTTTAATCTATGCATGTGTGTGTGTGTGTGTGCATATATTATGAATTTATTATTGGGTGAAGTCTCTGATGTTTGACCAGTGTTTGTCTCTGCCTGAACCTCCTCCCACAATTGGTGCAGCGATACGGCTTCTCTCCTGTGTGGATTCTCCGATGGATGATAAGGTCAGCCATTCGAACGAACCTTTTCTCACACTCATCACAGGGATAAGGCTTCTCTCCAGTGTGGATTTTCTGGTGCCTGGTAAGTGAGGAGAGCTGATTGAATCTCTTTCCGCACGCTGCACAGTTGTGGGGCCTCTCCCCTGAGTGAGTCCTTCGGTGCCGGTGAAGGTGAGAAAGCTGGTTGAACCTCCGTCCACACTCATCGCAGGTATGGGGTCTTTCTTCAGAGTGGGTCCTTTGATGCCTGGTTAAAGCAGATGATGCAATGAACCTTTTCCCACATTCGGGGCAGCCATAAGGCCTCTGCCCCATATGGATTCTCTTGTGCACTGTGAGAGCAGAGAGGTGGCTGAAAGATTTCTGGCAATATGTGCAGCAGTAGGGTCTCTCTCCAGTATGGATTCTTTGGTGGCTGATAAGATGCGCCCGTTGGCTAAAGGTTTCCCCACATTCAGCACAGGCATGGGGCTTCTCCCCTGTGTGAATCCTTTGGTGCCGTGTGAGGTGCGAGAACTGGTTAAACCTCGCCCCACACTCAGCACAGCGGAAAGGTTTCTCACCTGTATGGATGTGCTGGTGTTTGGCCAGATCAGATGGGCAATTGAAACGTTTCCCACATTCAACACAGGGATGGGGTTTTTCTCCAGTGTGTATCCTCTGATGTCGAGTGAGATGCGACATCTGAATGAAGCTTTTGTGGCATTGGCCGCAGCAATAGGGTTTCTCTCCTGAATGCGTTTTCAAGTGTTTGGCAAGGCCCGAGGGGCGAGTAAATCTTTTCCCACACTGAGAGCAGGCATGCGGTCTGTCCTTCCTGTGGATGCCACCATGAACTCGGAGTTCCTCCTCTCCCCTAAACCTTTTCCCGCAGTCCGGACACTGGAAGTACTGTCCAGCTCTTCCCAAAAACTTGGCACCTGTTAAGTGTTTTAAAAAAACAGCTAAATGTCATTCTGTGAGCAAGAAACCAGGAGGAAAAAAATAACTTGTTAAAAGCTGGACAAGCAGTAATACCATAGGATTAGAAAGAAGTATAAAAATAGGATTTATGTAACTCAAAACTATATACGATGTTTGATTGTATATGGGAAAGAAGAGTTGCCTATAATGGCCAGAGAAAAAAAGAAACACAGATTACAAATTGGGAGAAAACTAGTTGATTATGTGACTGGAACAGAGGAGAACAAGAAACTAAAAGATATTATTTCAATGATCATCCAAATGAAAGGGAATGGATATTAAAATAAATACCTAGAGGTTGACCAAAGAACCATGCTGGAGGATCCAGAGATTCCTAGAGAAGTATCTTCTCCTATGAACCTACGCGAGCTCTAAGATCTTTTGAGGAGGCCTTTCTCTTGCTCCCACCCACATCACAAGCATGGCTGGTGGGGTCAAGGGAGAGGGCATTCTTGGTGATGGCCCTCCAGCCCTGGATCTCTCTCCCCAGGAAGATTAGATTGGCGCACACCCTGCCCACTTTCCATAAAGAACTAAAAACGTGGATGTTCCATTGTGCTTTTGAGTAATCAGACACTTTTGGCCCCTCCAGTCACAACTCAGTATCTGCCTCTTGCACTTCACCATTGTCCGTGCCCTATAGCTGTATGATTCTTATTGACTTCATCCTTCTCATCCAACTTATCATCTGGCTCCTGCACTTTTCCACCAGCCCTGTCCGTGCAACTTCATTGCAACTGCCCCACCCGTTAGCTCAGTATATGGCTACTATGTTAGGCTATTGGGGGTTCCAACAACTTCTGGTAGAAGCATATCATTCCCATATGGGACATGAGAGAAGCCCCCCACAGGATGGTAAAATATCCGGACGTCCCCTGGACAACATCCTTGCAGACAGCCAATTCTCTCACACCAGAAGTGACTTGCAGTTTCTCAAATTGCTCCTGACATGAAAACAAACAAACAAACAAACAAACCAGAAGTTCTCTATCATTCATGATTTCACTTTTCCACGGTACATCCAGGAACATATCCCCAGTTGATATGGAATTGTACTGAATATGGCTTAGACATAGTGTCTATGTGGCAACAAATGATAAAGAGTCGGTACTCAATAGGTATAAAAGTCACATCATATTCTACTTAGTAACTTTGAGGTCCTCTACTAAGTTTGCACAGTGGTGGCCACAGCAGTGGGAGAAGGGGAGACCCTTACTTTGGTGGTAGAAGTGGGGCTCAAGGCAATCCCTCAGTCTTGGTGACAGGTTTAGATTTGTGCAAGTCTTCAAACAAAGTGGCAAGAGTGATGTAGGCAGAACCTTACATCTTGTAAGAAAATGGTGGAATAAGGGTCTAAAATTCATAACCTCCATCTTGAAATGCTGTGAACTGAAGCTACTATAGATCATATATCTATATTTGCAGGTAAGCATGCAATCACTCAAGAGTACCATTGAAAAATTGGTAAGGGAAGAGAGTAGGACAGCGGAAGGAAACATATGACCTTCCAGAAGCCATTATTTTACAATTCCCATCAGCCCTTATCAGATGAAAGGGATTATGGGAGGTGCAGCAAAACAACTGGAGGACTGCATGTTCCCTGTCCACAAAGCAGAGGACAGTGTGGGATTCCTTACCTAATGAGTTGCCAATCCCATTATCTTGCTGCTTGCCTTCCTTGTAGGTTTGCCTTGGCCTGTTATTGACTGGTGGCGGTGGAATCTCAGAACAGTTTGCACCATCTCCTTGAACTGTTCCTGATACCTGAAATGGCATGCAAGAGAAGGAAATATCGAGCCCAAGGGAATTTTCCCAAATTGGTGTCTTCCATGAAGGTAAAATTAATTTTTCTCCTCTCACACCCCCTGAAGAATCATCATCCATTTTGAAAACAATTTGGGAGCAGATGGATAGGCATTGAGACACTACATTAATGTCCCATATCAATGTCCAGATTCCTCCATGGTAGGGAGGACGTAGTTTCATTCACCAGACCAAATTTGGCACAAATACCTGATATGCCCAAATTTGAATACTGGCAGAGTTGACTGCGGGGTTGATTTTATCATTTGGGAGTTGTAGTTCCTGGGATTTATAGTTCACCTATAATCAAAGAGCATTCTGAACTCCACCAACGATGGAATTGAACCAAACTTGGCACTCAGAACTTCCATGACCAACATAAAATACTGGAAGGGTTTGGTGGGCATTGACCTTGAGTTTTGGAGTTGTAGTTCACCTACCTCCAGAGAGAATAATATTAATAATAAAAAAAACTTTATTTATACCCCGCTACCATCTCCCCAAGAGACTCGGTGTGGTTTACATGAGGCCAAGCCCACAATACATCAATAATAAAAACAATAACAACAAGTAATACAAAACACCAAAAATAAAACTCAGAACAGAAAATAAGCAATAAACATTAACAGTAACACAACGATGTTTAAAAACCTATGGCTGGACCAAATGTAATTATTAAAATTTAAAAATAATGCTGAGCATGAACAGGTGAAATATGACTAGRATAGAGTTTTCAGAGAGGGATGGGCGTGCAAACACTCCTAGATCAATAATAAAGTGCATTTAGAGGACATATTGCTGGGAGAACTGTGGACTCAAACAATGATAGATCTGGACCAAACTGGGCACAACTACTCAATAAAAATAGACTTTGACATTTGGGAGTTGTAGTTGCTGGGATTTATAGTTCACCTACAATCAAAGAGCATTCTGAACCCCATCAATGATAGAATTGAGCCCACAAAGAACCCCCATGGCCATCAGTAAATACTGTGTTTTCTGATGGTCTTTGGTGACCTCTCTGACACCCCCCCCCTTGTGACACCCCACCCCCGGGGTCCTGACCCCCAGGTTGAGAAACACTGGTCTAGACTGAGGGAAGTCATAAACAGAGGCTGGATGGCCATCTGTCAGGAGTGCAATGATTTAATTGAGTGTTCCAGCATGGCAGGGAATTGGACAGGACAGCCCTTGTGGTCTCTATGATTCTATCATTCTAAACTCTAGTTCTGCTTGTGTAGATGACCCCAAATAAACGGCTGGAAATAACTGAGCTCACCTGTCGTTCCCTTTCTCCCCGTTCTGGCTGCCTCAGCAAGAAGCCCTCTGCCAGGGCCACAGCCTGGGCACAGGTCTCTGGCCCACGTGCCTGCACTTGGCTTTGGATTTCCCTTGGCAAAATCACCAAGAATTGTTCCAGGACTAGAAGCTCCAAGATCTGCTCCTTGCTGCGGTTCTCTGGCTCCAACCAATGATGACAGAGTTCACGCAACCGGCTGCAAACCTCCCGGGGTCCTACGGCATTTGGGTAGCGGAACTGCCGGAAGTGTTGGCGCTGCATCTCTATGTTTGCAACATCCTCCTGTACAATGGCAGCTTTCACCTTCCCAAAGTCTCCCCTGTCTCTGGCTTCTGGGGTGTTAAAGCTCTGCTGTGCTTTGCTGCCAACTGGAGTTGGCACACGTTTGGCAATGGCTTCACCTCGGGACCACTGGCAGGCCTCAGTCACCCGCTCAAACGTGGATAAGTCATCCCACGGAGGCAACTCTGGCAGGTGCGAACTTGCCCATCCTGAGTGAGAGGTCTGTACTGTCCTTAGGATTTCTTGCCACTGGGCTTCTCCATGTGGTGGCATGTCCTCCTGTCTCTCGATCCTACTTTGGTGAGGAGTGACCCACCGCAAAAACTCATTGACTGCCCCAGCTTGAAGGAGCCGAGGCGACTTTCCAGCCCCTTCTCCCAGTTCAAGGTGAGCTGGGTTCGGTTGCTCCATTCCTCTTTCCAGATCGCTAACAAAGGCAGACGAAGAAAAGCTAACATTACCACTTTTCTTGAATTGAAGCCATTTCATCTCCTTGCAGTTTGTCTTAGTCAGGTCTACATCTCCCGAACCAGAATGAAAAGAAGCACAGTCCAAAGCCTTATCATGAACAGTGCTTGCTGCAGGTCAGGCATTCCAGTTAAAAGCCCAAGGTAGAATACAGAGCACAGCAAGTCCCCTCTAAGTAGCTTAGTCTGGTCCTTTGAAAGGGAAAGAGAAAGAAGGGAAACATAGAAATTATTCATGTCACAGCTTAAAACTAAGTTAAAATCTTAATGCACCCTGGCTATACCTTTATAATTGCATAATGAAATCAGTGACAGGTTACTAGATACAAGGGTTGAATGAAAAGTAATGCCTCCACCTTCGTAAATCCTCAATAGATGTGGCAGGTACTGGCTTGTTCAGTAGACTCTCCTCTACAGTTCAATTTTGGCGAGAAGCCTTAGCATTGAACGGTTGTGTTGTTAAAGTATGGATCCCTGTGCAGACGGTCGGTGAATGTGATTTAAGCCACGTGCAGTCATTGAATTCTTCACAGCAGAAGGTGTCACCCCAAAGGAGATTCATCAGAGAATGCAAGCTGTTTATGGTGATTGTGTTGATGTGAATACTGTGCATCGTTGGGCGAATAAGTTTAAAGATGTTGAGGTGGGAACATCTGACTTGCATGACAAACAAAGAGTTGGGCGTCCTGTGACAGCAACCACTGAGTTTCACAAGCAAAAGGTTGACAGATTGATTCAGGACTATTGTCATATCACTCAGAGAGAAATTTCAAGCATAATTGGCATTTCACAGGAATGTGTGGGCCACATTATTCCTTTGCTTGGCTATCGGAAGATCTGTGCATGATGGGTACCCAGGATGAGAGAACCGTGAGATGCTGGTTGCGGAAACAGAGTGTCTACTTCTTCCGTGACGGCTTCAGAAAACTTGTTCATCATTGGCAGAAATGTATCCAATTGTCTGGTGATTATGTGGAAAAGTGAATAGTGGTAGTTAAAGAGCACACTCTAAGGATTATTTCTGTGTTTGATTTATTAAAGTATTATCATCCAAACCCAAGTAACGAAGGTGGAGGCATTACTTTTCATTCAACCCTTGTATTTTCAACTGCTTAGACCTCAGCTTTGTTTCAGGAGCCCCCAGTGGAGCAATGGGTTAAACCCTTGTGCCAGCAGGACTGCTGTCTGAAAGGTCAGTGGTTCGAATTTGGGGAGGAGGGGTGAGCTCCTGTCTGTCAGCTCCAGCTTTTCATTCAGGGACATGAGAGAAGCTTCCCACAGGATGGTAAAACATTCGGGAGTCCCCTGAGCAACATCCTTGCAGACAGCCAATTCTCTTACACCAGAAGTGACTTGCAGATTCTCAAGTCACTCCTGACACACACACACAAAATCTTTGTTGCAATGTTCACTACTTCATTCACTACTTCAGTGATGGCCTATGAACCAATGCTGATCCATGATAGCTTGTTTGTGGACAAGTCTGTAAGAATGAAACAATTGTAGGTGACAGATATAAATATAGTTGCAGTCCCTAATATATTGTGGGGTGTGGGCTGCCAACACTCCACGTCAGATAACTAAAGTAGCACTACTCTACAAAGATCTGTCTTTGTAGAGTTCCTGTTTGGTAGACTGCACATATAGACAACACAACACCCTTATTGAAATATCTACACTAGCTTTCAGTTATTTCTACAATCACCCTAAATGTTGCAAGCCCCTCCTATTAATTGGTTAGACCCCACGTAGCAGCCAGACTATTATCTTTAGCCAAGGAAGGCTAAATTGATTGCATGAATCTTTTAATCTACAGCTCACCATATTTATGACTCTATTGCTCTTGCTAATTTTATCTGTCTGGTTCAAAATGTGTTCTTGGTTTTAATGCTGATATACTGTATTTTATATGTTGTGTGGCACATTGTGTGCTATTTGTAAGCCTCCCCGAGTCCCTATGGGAGATGGCAGTGGGGTATAAATAAAAGATTATTACTATTATTATATTACTGACACAAACACACAGTATGTCACAGCAAACAAGATATATATGCTGGATTTCGTATCACAAAATCACAAGTCAAGCAATTATTATTATTATTATTATTATTATTATTATTATTATCATTAAAGAATATAATAATGCTAGTTGCCGAGATGGAAACAAATAATAATTTAATGATGGCGAATCCAGGCAGTGCTCTGAGGAAGGTGGAATTGTGTAGAATAAATAATAACCCAATATGGGGCGGGCTTTAGCACAATTGGTTAATCTCCAGCAGCAATAGATTTTCCCAACCAAAAGGTTGACAGTTCGAGCCCGGGTCGGGGTGAGCACCCAACCTTCAGCCTAGCTTACTGTCCACCTAAGCAGTTTGGAAACAGTTGTGAGTAGACAAATTAGGCACCCCTTAAGCAGGGAGGTATTTTACGGCACTATAAAAAACCAGCGACCAAAGAACAAGAAGGAAAGTCTTTGATTAAAAGGCTCATAATCATAGAGGATGAGTGACAGCACCCCCTTTGGCCAGAATCGAGCATAACCTCCAGGACGCTAAGTTGGGAAAAGGCTGACACAGGCTTATCTGTCTGTCTGTCCTGTATGTCTAACAGCATTGAATGTTTGCCGTGTATATGTTCTGTGATCCGCCCTGAATCCCCTTCAGAGTGAAAAGGGCGAAATATAAATGCTATAAATAAATAAATATGTACGGAAAGGTTTAGGTAAATGTAAAGGTTTTTTCCTGACATTAAGTCCAGTCGTGTCCGACTCTGGGGGTTGGTGCTCATCTCAATTTCTAAGCCAAAGAGCCGGCGTTGTCCCTAGACACCTCCAAGGTCATGTGGCCAACATGACTACATGGAGCGCAGGGCAAAAAGAGAACCAGTCGAGGACTGCATCTAAAGCTGTAGAATTAATACATTAATTCAACGTTTGAGACGAAATCTGGCATTCTGCCCTTCAGTGCTGTCTTCAGCAGTGCCACCCAATGAGAAACAGAAATAAACACAACCCTCAAGGTTTCCAATCTGCAAAATGGGGGCAAGGTTGGCCTCTCTCTTGCTGTTGAGCAAGAGAGGCCAACCTTGCGTGGTGTGGTGTGGTGGAGACTCCTTCTTTGGAAGCTTTTAAACAGAGGCTGGATGGCCATCTGTCAGGGGTGCTTTGAATGCAATTTTCCTGCTTCTTGGCAGGGGGTTGGACTGGATGGTCTCTTCCAACTCTATGATTCTAAGAGAAGTCAGACGGCAAAGCACATTTTACAGCATGGTATTTTAACTGTGCATAAGACTAGCTAACCTTGTCCTGAACGTGTGCTGAACGACTGATTTTCCCCTTGCAGCTGAGCATCACTCCATAGACCAAAATGGACCACATTCATAGAATATTCATTCACTGCAACATCCTCCCAGCTTCCCAAACCTCCCTCAAACTGCAACCTTGTATCTGAGGACTCACTTTTGCTGCTTTGCCAAACCTTGGGGCTTCTGCTGCCTCCAGATCTGCTGCCTTTGCTTTCTGGTGTTTGGGGGAAAAACACAGCTGACTGGAAAAGAGAGGAAGCTTCCTACCTTATTCCTTCCCCCTGTCTCTATGAAATATGGAGGGCGTTAGGACCCAGAAAGCTGGGCCCATTTAACCCATCATACTCTGGTCTAGGAGAAACTCCTGCTGCAGTGACCAGACTTAAGAGGTGAAGAATGAATGTGGCTTGACACCACTTTTGTTTCCATAGAGTAAAGGGGATCCAGGGAGTTCCCTACCAGCCCTCTTTGGTAGGGAAGGCTGAAGTCCTGGCAAAGCTACAACTCCCCTGATTCCAGAGCACAGAGCCATGGCACTTCAAGCAGTGATTTATTTATTGTGTCAGGAGCAAACCAAACAGTTGTATTGCATTTTTTAACAAACAAGCAAAACACAAAGTTTGCAAGCTTGGTAGTTGATTAAATGTCCTTTGACCAGTATCTGGCCACTTGGAGTGCCTCTGGTGTTGCCGCAAGAAGGTCCTCCTTTGTGCATGTAGCAGGGCTCAGGTTGCATTGCAGCAGGTGGTCAGTGGTTTGCTCTTCTCCACACTCGCATGTCGTGGATTCCACTTTGTAGCCCCATTTCTTAGGTTGGCTCTGCATCTCGTGGTGCCAAAGCACAGTCTGTTCAGCGCCTTCCAAGTTGCCCAGTCTCTGTGTGCCCAGGGGGGAGTCTCTCATTTGGTATCAGCCTTGGTTGAGGTTCTGGGTTTGAGCCTGCCACTTTTGGACTCTCGCTTGCTGAGGTGTTCCAGCGAGTGTCTCTGTAGATCTTAGAAAACTATTTCTTGATTTAAGTTTGACGTGCTGGCTGATACCCAAACAGGGGATGAGCTGGAGATGTCACTGCCTTGGTCCTTTCACTATTGGCTGCTACTTCCTGGTGGATGTCAGGTGGTGCAATACCGGCTAAACAGTGTAATTTCTCCAGTGGTGTAGGGCGCAGACACCCCGTGATAATGCGGCATGTCTCATTAAGAGCCACATCCACTGTTTTAGCGTGGTGAGATGTGTTCCACACTGGGCATGCATCCTCAGCAGCAGAGTAGCATAGCGCAAGGGCAGATTTATTTATTTATTTATTTAAAGCTTTTATATTCCGCCCTTCTCACCCCGCAGGGGACTCAGGATGGATTACAGTGTACACATATATGGAAAACATTCAATGCCAATTTTAACATACAACATATACAGACATACACAGAGGCTATTTAACTTTTTCTGGCCGCCAGGGGAGCTGTCGCTTTCATTGTCCATCTGCGACACTGATGAAGTATTTCCGCATTCCCCGCATGCTTTTTTGCTGGAGTGCTTTGCTGGAGTCTTTTTTATGGCCTCATAAATTAGTTAATTTAGCCTCCCCACACTTTAAGGTGGTACCTAATTTTCCTACTTGACAGATGCAACTGTCTTTCGGGTTGCAAAGGTCGACAACAGGCTATACAATTGGTTGGAAACCCACTCCAACCCGGGCTGGCTTCGAACTCATGACCTTTTGGTCAGAGTGATCTTAATGCAGCTGACACTCAGCCACCTGCGCCACAATCCCGGCAGATGTCTTCACTGTGTCTGGTTGTGATCCCCAGGTTGTGCCAGTCAGCTTTCGTATGATATACTACTTTTTGCTTGATATTCAGGCAGTGCTTTTTGTAGGTCAGAGCACAGTCCAGCGTGACTCCCAGGTATTTGGGTGCGCTGCAATGCTCCAGTGGGATTCCTTCCCAGGTGATCCTCAGAGCTCGGGATGCTTGTCTGTTCTTGAGATGAAAGGCACATGTCTGTTTTTAGATGGATTGGGGATCGGCTGGTTTTCCCTGTAATAGGCAGTAAGAGCACCTAGAGCAGTGGTTCTCAACTTTGCTAATGCCGTGACCCCTTAATGCCGTTCCATATGTTGTGGTGACCCCCAACCATAATATTGTTTTCGTTGCTACTTGATACCTGTCATTTTAGTACTGTTATAAATCGTAATGTAAATATCCGATATGCAGGATATATTTTCATTCACTGGACTAAATTGAGCACAAATACCCAATATGCCCAAATGTGAATGCTAGTGGGGTGTGGGGGGGGATTGATTTTGTAATTTGGGAGTTGTAGTTGCTGGGATTTATAGTTCACCTACAATCAAAGAGCATTCTGAACTCCACCAACGATGGAATTGAACCAAACTTGGCACACAGTTCTCCTATGACCAACAGAAAACACTGGAAGGGTTTGGTGGGCATTGACCTTGAGTTTGGGAGTTGTAGTTCACATATATCCAGAGAGCACTGTGGACTCAAACAATGATGGATCTGGACCAAATTTGGCATGAATACTCAGTATGCCCAAATGTGAACACTGGTGGAGTCTGGGGAAAATAGACCTTGACATTTGGGAGTTGTAGTTGTTGGGATTTAAAGTTCACCTACAATCAAAGAGCATTCTGCACTCAACCAACAATAGAATTGGGTCAAACTTCCCACACAGAATCCCAATGACCAACAGAAAACACTGGAAGGGTTTTGTGGGCATTGACCTTGAGTTTGGGAGTTGTAGTTCACCTACATCCAGAGGAGCGCTGTGGATTCATGCAATGATGAATCTGGGCCAAACTTGGCACGGATACTCAATATGCCCAAATGTGAACACTGGCAGAGTCTGGGGAAAATAGACCTTGACATTTGGGAGTTGTAGCTGTTGGGATTTATAGTTCACCTACAATCAAAGAGCATTCTGAACTCGGTCAACAACAGAATGGGGTCAAACTTCCCACACAGAATCCCAATGACCATCAGAAAATACTACGTTTTCTGATGGTCTTTGGCGACCCCTTTGACACCCCGTCACGACCCCCTCAGGGGTCCCGACCCCCAGGTTGAGAAACACTGACCTAGAGCTTTGGAGAGCTTCTGTTCTACCATCCCAAAGCTCCATGCTTGAGCGGTAATGGCACGATCATCAGCATAGATGAAGCTCTCTGTCCCTTCTGGCAGTGGCTGGTCATTTGTGTAAATGTTGAACATGGATGGAGCAAGCATGCTACCCCGAGGCAGGCCGTTCTTCTGTTTCCGCCATCTGCTTCTCAGTTCCACTGTGTGGATGCATCCTCAGTGCCTAGAAGATTCAAGGGTTAAATTGAGTGTCAGCCATCTCTCCCAGCCCTAGAGAGGCTCAGGAAGCTGAGCCAGATGGGGGATGAATTAACCAAAGGACACCTTCCTGCTCCTCCTCTTCCCGGGATCAAAACTTGGGATTTGAATTTTAATAAGGGAAGGATTTGCTTCTGCAAGGCTGCAGGGCTTTGTGCAGAAGAAGCAAGGCTGAGGCAGAGCCGGTGAGTAAAGATCCAGATGTGAGCAGCACATCTGGAGGAAGGGAAAGATGGGTGGGCTTTCAAGTAGTGGGTGCTGCATCTGTCTACACTTCTAAATTAATGCAGCTTGGCTCCACTTTAACCAAGGGATTTGCTGTTTGATGAGGCACCAGGACTCTTTGGCAGAGAAGGCTCAAAACCTTGCAAAACAATAGCTCCTATGATGCTCTAAAATTGAATTAATTTAAGTTTGACAGCAATTAAATTGCTATCAAACTGCATTAATTCGACATTGTAGATGGCGAAAGGCGATATAGCTCCAGGTTGTAGGTTGCTTGCAAAAATCTCTGTGGAAGGCTTATGGGCAAAGCAATGTATGTTATGATTTTCCATCCGTGTTTGTGTGTAAATAAAATAGTAAAATAAATTGAGATATAAAAATAGTAAAAGATATAAAAGGTAATGCTTTGAGTCGCCTAAGGGCTGAGAAAAGCGGTATAGAAATAAAGTAAATAAATAAATAAATAATGGTTTCCCCTGACATTAAGTTCAGTATTGTCCAACTCTAGGGGGTTGTGCTCATCTCCATTTCTAAGCCGAAGAGCCGCGTTGTCCGTAGACACCTCCAAGGTCATGTGGCCAGCATGACTGCATGGAGCACTGTTACCTTTCTGCAGAGCAGTACCTATTGATATACTCACATGTGCATGTTTTCGAACTGCTAGGTTAGCAGAAGCTGGAGCTGACAGCAGAAGCTCATACCGCTTCCCAGATTCAAACCTGCGACCTTACAGTCAACAAGCTGAGCAGCTTAGCGGTTTAACCCACTGCACCACTAGGGGCTCATATATGGTGTGTGAGTTTGTGTGTGTATATACTTACTTACTTAGGCGATCCCTCGTAGTCCGAGGATGATGGTTTATATATATATATATACACACACACACACACACACACACACACACACACACACACACACATATATATTTCTCATGGGTGTCCCAAAAAGATATGAGCATCCTTTCCCAAAGAAACCACAGTGGCGCAAGCATCTAAAGCCAGGAGCAGCTGGGAAGATCATATAATTCAGAGGTGAGGATTGTAGAGTTCACAAAAGACCCCAAGACTGTGACTGCCTCTACTATAAGTTTAATGCAGTTTAGAATCATAGAACCATGGAATCATAGAGTTGAAAGAGACCTCATGGGCCATCCAGTCCAACCCCCTGCCAAGAAGCAGGAAAATCGCATTCAAAGCACCCCCGACAGATAGCCATCCAGCCTCTGTTTAAAAGCCGTCAAAGAAGGAGCCTCCACCACACTCTCGGGCAGAGAGTTCCGCTGGTAAACAGCTCTCGCAAACAGAAAGTTCTTCCGCATGTTCAGGTAGAATCTCTTTTCCTGTAGTTTGAAGCCATTGTTCTGTGTCCTAGTCTCCAGGGCAGCAGAAAACAAGCTTGCTCCCTCCTCCCTATGACTTCCTCTCACATATTTATACATGGCTATCATGTCTCCTCTCAGCCTTCTCTTCTGCAGGCTAAACATGCCCAGGTCTTTAAGCCGCTCCTCTTACGGCTTGTTCTCCAGACCTTTGATCATGTTAGCCACCTTTCTCTGGACACATTCCAGCTTTTCAACATCTACCCTTCAATTGTGATGCCCAGAATTGGAAAAAGTATTCCAGGTGTGGTCTGACCAAGGCAGAATAGAAGGATAGCATGACTTTCCTGGATCTAGAAGATCTAGTTTCAACTGCATTATATGGATCTCTACATTGACCATACGATGCAGTTCAAAATCCAGCCTGTGTTTTCTTACTTCTTAATGTTTATTAGGAAGCAAGGATGGCGGCGTTGTGGCAAAAGCCTCCAGGATTATCTTCTACTGTGAGAACAGATGGTGTATTGGGAGATGAATTGTGAGCGGCTTGGAGCCAGGACTCCTGGGTTCCTTGCAAGAAGAGCATGGCTTGGCTGGCAATTACGAGGACGGGTGATTAAAAAGGGATGAAAAGGCTGGAATGTTGCCATCCTTCTAGTCTATGTTTCTGGGCGAAGGAAGATCTTAATCCCACTTATGCTTGTGACTATGGGCTCAAGCAATGCCATGGCTTTTAATCAGTACGGATTTTGTACAAGTAGCATAAGTAAGGAGGACATCGCTACAGAATTCTCAATTTGTCTTCTATCTATCTATCTATCTATCTATCTATCTATCTATCTATCTATCTATCTATCTATCTATATGCTAGATTTCCATTCCACTGCGCTTTTGGCCCTTGGATGCAACCTCTCTTTTTACCTCCTTGCCAAATGGTGTGGGATTGAGAAAGAGATTTATTTATTTATCGTATCAGGAGCGAACCAAACAGTTGTACTGTATTTAATAAACAAAAAACACAAAATTTGCAAATTTAGCATTATATTAAATGTCCTTTGACCAGAAGCTGGCCACTTGGAGTGCCTCGGGTTGCTATAAGAAGGTCCTCCACTGTGCATGTGGCAGGGCTCAGGTTGCATAGTAATAGGTGGTCTGTGATTTGCTCTTCTCCACACTCGCATGTCATGGACTCAACTTCGTATCCCCATTTCTCTCCATCTCGTAGTGCCAGAGCACAATCTGTCCAGCGCCCAGGTTTCTGTGTGCCCAGGAGGGAGTCTCTCATTTGGTATCAGCTATTGATTGAGGTTCTGAATTTTAGCCTGCCACGTTTGGACTCTCACTTGCTGGGGTGTTCCAGCGAGTGTCTCTGTAGATCTTAGAAAACTATTTCTAAACACCAGAAGTGACCAGGAAAAAGAGATGTGAGGAAGCAACACCCAGCTTGAAACAACACTGAAAAATGCCACTTTGCTAGGACAGCTATTTGGCTTTCCGTTCTGTTTTCATCTGAGGATTTAGGGGGTGGGATGGGGATTAAGAGACCCCTGAGGCCTGAGGAGGGAGGGCCAGTGGGCACAGCCAATGCTGATTCTCTGCAGAATGTGTTTAACTCCTGAGCCGATTAAAGCCTTGGCTTATTCCTCTCTGGACTCTGCACAACAACAGCTTGGTTTTCTTTCTGAAGAGGTTCTCTTTTTTTCCCCCAGCCATGTTTGGAAGGTTTGGTTTCAGATAAAGCGTTTGTGGAAGATGTCTCTGGTCTCTCCAATTGTCCCCCACATTCTGTTTTCAATTGGCCATCACTCCATTGTAACCCAATGTAGTATTTTCCTGGTGGCTGGAAGTCTTGCATCTCACATTTGCAGCTACGACTCTGTTAAATTGCAATTGTCTTCTGCTTCCTACATTGGGTCAATGTGACAGGAGGGATGGTTGCTTTCGGAGATTCTGAAGATCCGTGGGCATTTCCTGGGGGAATATTGGAGGTTCTTTCCTAAGAAGAGTTATAGTTAATGGGATTCCTTAAAATGCAGCTTACTCACTGGAATATGTCAAGCCTTTCCCTTACATGAGTATTTCTCAAACTTCCTAATGCCGCAACCCCTTAATACAGTTCCTCATTTTGTGGTGACCCCCGACCATTAAATTATTTTTCTTGCTACTTCATAACTGTAATTTTGCTACTGTTATGAATCATAATGTAAATATCTGATATGCAGGATGTACTGTTTTCATTAACTGGACCAAATTTGGCACAAGTACCCGATATTTGAATACTAGTGGGGTTGTGAGGGATTGGTTTTGTCAATTGGGAGTTGAAGTTGTTGTGATTTATAGTTCACCTATAATCAAAGAGCATTCTGAACTCCACCAACAATGGAATTGATCCAAACTTGGCACACAAAATTCACATGACCAACATAAAATACTGGAAGGGTTTGGTGGGCATTGACCTTGAGTTTTGGAGTTGTAGTTCACCTACATCCAGAGAGCCCTGTGGACTCAAACAATGATGGATCAGAATCAAACTTGGCACAAATACTCAATTTGCCCAAATGTGAACACTGGTGGAGTTTGGGGAAAATAAACTTGACATTTGGGAGTTGTAGTTGCTGGGATTTATAGTTAACCTACCATCAAAGAGCATTCCAAACCCGACCAATGATAGAATTGGGCCAAACTTCCCACACAGACCCCCCATGACCAACAGAAAATACTGTGTTTTCTGGTGGTCTTTGGCGGCCCCTCTGATACCCCCTTGTGACCCCACCCAGGGGTCCCGGCCCCCAGGTTGAGAAACATTGAAATAAAGGATTTGTGAAAGATATCTCTGGTCACTCCAATTGTCTCCATGCTCTTTTTTCAATTGGCCATCACTCCATTGTAACATAACATAGTATTTTCCTGGTGGCTGGAGGTCTTGTATCTGACATCTGCAGTTACGACTGTATTAAACTGCAGTTGTCTTCTGCTTCTTACATTGGGTGCATGTGGCAGGAGGGATAGCTGCTTTCTGAGATTCTGAAGACCATAAGGCATTTCTGAGAGCATACTGCAGATTCTTTCCTAAAAAGTTATGGTTAATGGGATGCCTTAAAATGCAACTTAACCGCTGGAGTATGTCGAGCATTTCTCTTACATGCAGGGGCATCGCAACCCATTACACAAAGTAAGCATTTGCAGTATAGTTGATTTTGCCCAGGGGCACTCTTGAGGCGCTCTTGGGGGAAAATAGACCTTGACATATGTGAGTTGTAGTTACTGGGATGTATAGTTCACCTACAATCAAAGAGCATTCTGAACTCCACCAATGATGGAATTGAACCAAATATGGCACACAGAACTCCCACGACGAACAGAAAATATATATCAGTGATTGGTTGTGGGGGGGGGGGGGGGCCAAAATACTGTTTGCTTACCATTGAAAATTACCTAGGGCCACCTCTGCTTACATGTTTCTTCCTGTTCCTCAGATGAGATATGTTGCACCTCAGCTAGAGTTCACCTTGCTGAAGCACTCACCAGGAAGCCTAGCATAGTAATAAAAAGTTTATTGTTAAAGCACGCACAGTAAAAGAGTAAAAAAATCCAGATATGTAAAGATAGAAGGATTCCCAAAAGCCAGAGATAAATCTCCAATGTAAAGGTTAAAGCATGAACATTAAGCCAAGGTGCATGGAACAATCATGACCTTGAGTAATCCAAGAGACAAGGAAAAAAAATCAGCATGAGTAGTCCAAGAAACAAAGAACAAAACATGAACTTGATTCCTTGGTAAAATCCCCAAGATTGATAGCAAAACTTGACTAGGAAATTTGTCTTGAAGCCAGGAACAAGGCAAGAGATTCTTGCTCTATTTGCTACTTTGCATGATCTGAGAACTGAGAGTTTTTCTTTCCCTAATTAAGGACAGCAATGCATGGAAGCATTCCATCGGCCTTGAGGGATCTCTCTTGGCCTCCCTTTCCCATAGCCTGGCTTGCACCAGAATTCTTCCCCCGTAGGAGCAGCCTTGATTCTCAGTCCAACCCTCCTTCCTCCCTTCTCTGCCTGTCAGCTTCCAAAACAGTTTTGTTTTCACACAGAGAATCAATCAAATCCCCCTCTGTTCTCTTAACCGGGGAATCACCATCCTGTTCCAACATCCCATCTGTCTGAGCATCTCCAGAAGCACCAGGCCCTGAAGGCCCTGCACCCCCAAACCCTTCGTCGTCATCCTCAGCTGGCCGAACTACAACAAGATCACGGAGAATAATTCAGAATTGTAGCTTGTTGTATTAACCAGACTGTGATTGTTAAATGTGATTTGTTTGAAAAAGTTTACCTTCAAATCATAAGTTTATGAACCTCTTTTGTTTCAACAAAGTTTACTTAAGATTAAACACATTTTAGAGTTGGTTTGAACACTGGTAAAAGTTTGGCAAGAGCTCCAAACCTCATTACAATCAACTAAAGAAGGAGAGAGCCCAGTGAGATGTTAAATGGCATCAAATAGCTGCCAAATGTCAACCGCCTTGAGTCCCCCTCGAGGTGGAGGATGGTGGGGTAGAAATATTGTAAATAAACAAACAAACAAACTTATTTGTATCATGCTAAGTCGTTGTTTATTATGATGTTTAATGCAGTCGTTGTGGGGCTAAAGACTTTTCTGCCTAGCATTCAGTTGCTTAGAAATTGTTGTTATTGCATTGTTGAGCTCTTGCTTGGGCATGAATTAATTTCTTTTCCCCCCACTGTTTTTGTCTCAAGAACAAATCATTTCCATGGATTGGAACTGCATCAGCTCCATATTCAAGGGCTTTGCCTTAATAGACTGGAAATTGTGGCCTACTGAGAGGTCCTTTTTTACTCCATCTACAGAGTGAGGACTGTGAAGACGTGTGATGTGTGCCTCAAGACCAAAAATAGATGTACTTTTGACCTATTTTGGGGTGCAAAATCATTGATTCTTAGAGAGGAGAGGTTAATATTTTGGTTGAGAGAACCAACCTAAAGAAGACAAGGAGGCAAACGTCTCCCGACGAGGCAACAAAGTCAGTGTAACTCCTTGTGGAAATGGCAGGACAAGTTCAAACAGCATCGGAGTCAGGATCTGAGGGATCACGGAGAGATGGTTTCTCAGTCCAGGATGACACTGTTCAGGATCTGTCTCAATGGGCAACACCCCGACAGGAAAGGCTTCCCCGCCACTTGGAGGCCCAGTGGCAAGAATACATGAAAACAGTCCAATATCCTATCTCAGGATGGAGCTCTTCCCAACTGGCAGACATGACTTCATGGGATGACCTAACCACATTTGACCGTATGGTTGGTGCCTGCCAGTGGTCTAGAGAAGGGATAAGCCGCCTGATGCCCACTCTCAGCGTGGAAGCCCAGCAGGCCTTAAGTAGCTTGAATGCCAGAGACAAAGGGGAACACAGGAAGGGCAAAGCCAGTGCCTTCCGAGGTCATGCAAACGGTGCTGAGACACAGCGCCAGCGCTTCCGCCAGTTCCGTTACCAGGAGGCCGAAGGGCCCCGTGAAGTGTGCACCTGGTTGCGTGAGCTCTGCCATCGCTGGTTGGAGCCGGAGAATCGGACTAAAGAGCAGATTCTGGAGCTGCTGATATTGGAACAGTTTCTGACAGTTTTACCTGAGGAAATCCAAAACAGAGTCCGAGAACGTGGCCCTGAGACCTGCGCTCAGGCGGTAGCCTTGGCAGAGGGATTCCTTCTGAGGCAGCAGGAGACTTTGCAGAGTGGATCACAGGTGAGAGTCTCGAGGCTGACAACCTTGTTTGCGGAACATGAGGTGACCAGGGGAGCATTTGCACAGTTAAAACTTGTGCGCCAGCTGTGCCTGTACCTTGGGAAGTCTGACATGGCCATGGTAGTCCATGCTTTGGTTACATCCCGTATAGACTACTGCAACACACTCTACGTGGGGTTGCCTTTGAAGACTGTTTGGAAGCTCCAAATGGTCCAATGGGTGACAGCCAGGTTGTTAACAGGAGCAGCACTCAGAGAGCATACAATTCCTCTGTTGCACCAGCTCTACTGGCTGCCAGTCTACTACCGGGCACAATTCAAAGTGCTGGCTTTAGCCTAAACGGTTCCTGCCCAGCTTACCTGTCCGAACAGATCTCCCCCTATGAACCATCTAGGACTTTAAGATCGTCTGGGGAGGCCCTTCTCTCGGTCCCGCCTCTATCTCAGATGTGTTTGGTGGGAACGAGATATAGGGTCTTCTCAATGGTGGCTCCTCAGCTGTGGAACGCCCTTCTTAGGGATATTAGATCAGCCCCCTCCCTCTTAACATTTCACAAAAAGGTTAAAACCTGACTTTTTGAGCAGGCATTTGCAAATGCAATGTAACAGGCAATGAAAGACCATGGAACGACCGACGATGTGATTGAATAGTGATTTCAGTAAGGAGACACTGAGGATTTATGTTTTTATTGACTTTTTATGAACCTATATTTTATATGCTAATGTTTTTAATTGTATTTTATATGTTGAGAAGCATCAAATTGTGCCAAATGTAAACTGCCTTGAGTTGCGTTCGGGCTGAGAAAGGTGGTATATAAATATAATTAATTCATGACAACCCAAATTCAAGTGCTTTGTGGTGAAAAGGCTGAAACCCGTGAGCTGTGCAAGTTGGCTTATTTGTTTCCGTTGGACAATTTTAAGTTGCATTTCATTGTCTCTGGGAAAGACTGAGTTATGTAATAGTTATCTCCCAAGATCAGAGACTGGAGGCAGCGTTTGTTTAATCCGGAGAGGAGATCCAATTTACTGAGTCCCATCACAAGAAAAGGTTCTTACCTTTTAAAATGTTGAGCAAACAGCTGCTACTTTATACAGTTAGGAATAGTGTGATTCTCTACATGCGATACATAGGAGATTATCACACTATAGTGGGGGTTTTTCCCCTTGGCAGGAGTGACTTGAGAAGCTTCAAGTCCCTTCTGGTGTGAGAGAATTGGCTGTCTGCAAGGATGTTGCCCAGGGGACACTCAGAAATTTTGATGTTTTACCATCCTTGTGGGAGGCTTCTTGTTAATGGAACGGCGACAATCTCAGCACACACAAGGCACTGAAACACATCTTCTTGTCTAATAACCTAGTTTATTTAACACAAAACATATTTACACTAGAACTAAGCAGAACAAGAAACAAAAATGTCTACATGGCTCGGCTTTTCGTTGCAATCTAGAATAAGGCACACTCCCACATTCCTCAGTGACGTGATGACGTACGACGCTCTTAACACTAGACAGCGTACAACACTTTCCGCACTGAGATTTACGACTCCTTCTTCACGTTACACACAGGAATTACAAACTCCGGAACATTGCATTACAAAGCATTACATTTCTAAGCACATAATCACTAACTTTGAAAACTACAATACAGTTAATCAAAACACTCACATACATATATCTGACACTTCTCTCACGTCCCCGCATGGGGAGCTGGAGCTAACAGAGGGAGCTCATCGAACCTCCGATCTGTTGGTCTGCAGTCCTGCCAGCACAAGTGTTTAACTCATTGTGTTGTCATTTCACTTCAGCCGCTGTTGCTGCTTCCAGCAGAATTCTGGGGTTTGCAGTTTAGTGTTCTTCGACTGAGAATTTTAAAGGTCCTTCCCTAAACTGTAAATCTTACGATTCCTTAGGAGACAACCATGTATTCTTTCTTTTATTGTCTGGGTTATTGTAAAACCTATACCAAACCTCCTTAAGTTCTTCATCCTTGAAATGTTCCTGCAGACAAGAAGATGTGTTTCAGTGCCTTGTGTGTGCTGAGATCGTCGCCATTCCATTAACAAGAAGCTTCCCACAAGGATAGTAAAACATCAAAATTTCTGAGTGTCCCCTGGGCAACATTCTTGCTGACAGCCAATTCTCTCACAACAGAAGCAACTTGCAGTTTCTCAAGTTGCTCCTGACACGGAAAAAAAACAAAACAGTGGAATAACATGGTTTTTTTTTTTTCAAAAAAAATGGAGGGGGCAGGGAGTGAAGAGTTTCATTCCTGGTTTCTAATATCATTTCAGGTTTCTGACTCGCACCAGGATATGACCATAAATCTCTCTGAAAATCAGAGAGATGCCAGACAGAAGCAGCAGGATAATGGGAAGGCCATCTCCACAGGTAAGACTTTTTCACCGACTAATGCAGGGGTCCTCAAACTAAGGCCCAGGGGCCGGATGTGGCCCTCCAAGGCCATTTACCCGGCCCTCGCTCAGGGTCAACCTAAATCTATAACGACTCAAGAGCACACAACAACAACAACGCTATCTCATCAGCCAAAAGCAGGCCCACACTTCCCATTGAAATACTAATAAATTTATATTTGTTAAGATTGTTCTTCATTTTAATTATTGTATTGTTTTTAATTTTTTGCACTACAGATAAGATATGTGCAGTGTGCATAGGAATTCATTCATGTTTTTTTCAGATTATAATCCAGCCCTCCAACAGTTTGAGGGACTATGACCTGGCCCTCTGTTTAAAAGGTTTGAGGACCCCTGGTCTAATGCTTCTAGTCCTTCTCTGCTCAGGAAAGAAGGAAACAGTTTAAGTTCAGGTCTGGGCACTTGTGTTTAGGGAGGGAAATGTGTGAGATCCACTTGAGACAAAGAAGAAATATTAAAATGCTATATTTGGGGCCTCGTTTGCACATCCCAAGTATAGTGTCCATAGTTTTAGAAACTTTTTAAATATATTCTTTAACTTATTCATGTTTAGTATATTTTTAATTGGTTCAATTAATTTACAGCTTGAAATTGTGAAACTTGTCTTAATTCTTACTGTAAGCGGCCCTGAGATCTGTGATATCCTGTGCAGGGTAAATGTTTTAATTAAAAAATAAGTTTAGAAGTACTGGTTTTATCCTAACCAAAAGGAATTGAGTCTTCTGGGGCCTTTTTAAGGGTTTTATTTACTATGTAATGGCCCTCCATTCAGTCATGCCGGCCACAAGACCTTGGAGGTGTCTGCAGACAAGGCCGGCTCTTCAGCTCAGAAATGGAGATGAGCACCACCCCCAGAGTCAGACACGACTAGACTTAATGTCAGGAGAAACCTTTATTTTTACCTTACATAGTCAAAGCAGCTGAGATAAAAATAGTGATTTATCTCAACTTTACTGATACCTTATTTATTTAATATCAAAACGTTGCATACATAAGTATAAAACTGATAAAAATAGAAGGAGCACAAGCGGCTAAATAATTTTTGATCAAAACCAGGCAACAGCAACCTCATTGTCTGTAGCTTTAAGCAATTCTTCCTCTGTACATGAGGCAGGACATTGTGGACAAGCATACAGATGCGGAGTTGTCTGTACTGCTCCACAGTTGCACAAAGCGGAGGATTCTTCTAGGTAGTACCATCTTGCCAGGTTGTCTTTTGATCTACTCACACCATTTCTGAGTCTCTTTGGGGGCTTCCAAGTTGCCCATTCTTGGTTTGCCCCTGGAGGCAGACCCTCATGGAGAGGAGAGGGAATTCAATTGGGATTTCCTGATTTAGCTGCCCAGAGGGATACCCTTGCTGCTTGGGGAACATTAAGAAGAGTGGTAGTTCTCATGAAGCTTTTCCTTGATTTGAGTCTACTGGGAGGGGGCTGATAACCATGCAGTGGATGGCTTTCACAGTGTTCAACCTTATTTCTCTCACAATTGGCAGCAACTTCCTATTTCACATCGGGGCGGGGCGGGGGAGGGGGCAGTGCCAGCTAGCTTGTAGAGTCTATCAAGAGGTGTAGGTTTGAGATATCCTGTGAGTATTCTGCATGTTTCATTCAGTGCTATGTTCACCTGTTTTGTGTGGGCAGAATTATGCCAGACAGGGCAGGCATGCTCAGCAGTTGAGTAAGACAAGGCCTGGGCTGATGTTCTTATTAATTTGGGGTCTGCTCCCCATGTGCTGCCAATAAGTTTCCACAGGATGTTATTGCATTGCTTTTTTTAAAGGGTAACACAATATTTGAATCTTTACTTTTCTGATTAAATTTCTTCTAAGTGCTAATTTTCTTGCTAGAACAGCCATTACTGTTGTTGTTGTTGTTGTTTACCCATCTCTCCTTAAACAGAATAAATATTAACACTGGTGACACATTGTTTTTCCATATTATTTATTCTCTTCCTTTGAACAGGTGCCAAAGTCACAAACCGAGCCCGCGGTCCACTGCAGCATCTAGGAGCCAAGGAAGAAAGGGTGCGCATTACTCCTGGTGTGGCCCTGAGAAAAGAGAAATCTCATATCTGTATTGACTGTGGGAAATGCTTTGCACGGCCATCTGACTTGGCTAAACATGAAAACATCCACACTGGCGCCAAGCCCTTTCGCTGCATGGAATGTGGAACTCGATTCAGTCAGTTGTCCCACTTAACCAGACACCAGAGAATTCACACAGGGGAAAAACCACACACATGCACTGAGTGTGGGGCATCATTTGCCCAGCGGGCTTCGTTGGTTAGTCACCAGAGAGTCCACTCAGGAGAGCAACCCTACCGCTGTTCTCATTGCCAGCAGTGTTTCAGCCACCAGTCGGCACTCAGAGTGCATGAACGCATCCACACAGGTCAGAAGCCCTACATCTGTCTGGAATGTGGGAAAAGGTTTGTTTCCTCCTCCACTCTTAAAATACACAAGCGGATCCATACGGGAGAGAAGCCGTTTTCTTGTGCTGAGTGTGGGAAGCGTTTCATTCAGCGCTCTAATCTGATTTCACACCAGCGGACGCACTCTGGGGAGAAGCCCTTTTGCTGTGGGGTGTGCGGCAGAAGGTTCAGCTACCCTTCAGACCTCACTAGGCACCAGAAAATCCATACTGGGGAGAAGCCGTTTCCCTGTGATGAATGTGAAAGGAGGTTCACAAGGTTCTCAGATCTTCTCATACATCGGAGAATCCACACTGGAGAGCGGCCATATCGGTGCCTTGATTGTGGCAGAAGGTTCAGGCAGAAGAGTGCTTTGGTGACACACCAAAGAATCCACACAAAAGAGAAAGTAGCTGAAAAAAGTAGTCCTAGAGCATCATTAGAGTCAAAAACAAATCGTAAACTGAAGGTCATGAAGGCAACAGAAGATGAGACAGACATTCTAGAGAAAGAAGACAAGCAGAAAGATGCACCGTGAGCCTTGGAAGAGCCATCCTCATCTTGTCTTCTCAGCTCCTGACCAATCAGACCCTAACTAAGAAAAGATCTCTCTAGAGGAGGTGAAGTAGATTCATCTTGTCCACTTGACATGTCCTATTCCTTCTCCCACACTGGTGTGCCACAAGAATCCTTTTCCAGGGTGACTTAGCTCAGGATGTAATGTAAGGTGTGAATAATAACCCCCTCCTTACTCCCAGGAACTTTGCTGCTTTGGCAGTTACTCATGGGGTGTTCAGAAAAGATCTCTTCAAATTGCAGAGACTGGAAAAGCCTGAGAAGACTGCGTGGTTCCTCTGACCAGGTAGTTGCTTACCTTGTGGGTTAGGCAAACGTAACCCTCTGTCATATGGATTGGCATACTGGGGCAATGTTGGAACATATAACTCCACAGAAAATGGAACCCCTTTGGGTTGATTTGTACTATCATGTGCCATCTTACTTTGATCTCAAGAGTTGGTCTGCAAGGGAGCTTTCCAGGTTTCCACGGGGCATGTGAATTTTCAGAAAGGAGGGTAAAGAATGTCTTATGTCCATAGGCAGCATAGCATTTGATTTGCTGGTGCCCGGGATGGAAAATAGATGGCTGTTCCTATCAAGTCTTCTTTGTGAATGTCTTGGGGCATCTGCTTGGCTCTGTTGTTGGCAATTAAGTAGAAAAATGTATGAACCTAGGCTTGATTTTCCAAGACAGGCATGCCAGTCAGCTTGGACAGAAAGAATGCAAAGCCATGAAGGGTTTACACATTTAGACTGTAGCTTTTAACATTTGTCTTCTAGGCTAGCAAGATGAAGATTAATGTCCAAACCAGTAGGAATACTTCTAGTAAGTATTGCGCATAGTAAATCCCTGAGTCAGTGTAATCTAGTGGATTTTTAGGAACAGATTTCCACTTAGTTGTCATTTCCCCTTAGTAAAAAGGGAGTAGCTGGGGTCTACTGCAAAGGACTGTTGACCAGAATGGGCTACATGATGATGGTATTGCAATTTGTATATTGAAAGTGCAGTATACGTCATGAAGAATGATTTCTAGATCCGTGGTTTTCAACCTGTGGGTCCCCAGATGTTTTGATCTTCAACTCCCAGAAATCCTAACAGCTGGTAAACTGGCTGAGATTTCTGGGAGTTGTAGGCCAAAACACTTGGGGACCCATAGGTTGAGAACCACTGGTCTAGATTCAGGGAGGACAAGTCTAAGCAAACTTCCCCTGGGAATTGCCAGTCTGTAGTTTCGGTATATCCAACACAAGTGACTTTTGTTATTGTGTTAACACACATATTACTATAAATTCAGTGGAATTGTCTCCTTGGTGAGTACATTTTGGTTTGCACTTGAGAAGCAATTCATACGTAGCAAAACATCTACTGATGATGCAATTGTTCTTGGACTTCTTGAATTGCCCACATATGTACCCAATGAGGTTTTTCAGTTTTTCTTTTCAGTTTATGAACCAAAAATACTGCTTTGCCCTCCCCCATTGTTTTGCTTCTATATGCTTAAACTAAAACATATGATGAGCGTATGCTTATGGTGAGACAAAATAACCATACTCTCCTCAGTCCCCTGCAGCACCCTCACCCCATTTCTACCTTTCAGTTAACACAGATGTCCTTTGGTCTTTTCTTTTTCCATGATATGATACTCTTTCTGATACTTTCTTTTATTTCCAATCTGAATTCTAACATGTATATTTTAACATGGAGGAAGAGAAGATTCACAACAGAGGGCACTCAATGGAACCACAAAAACTATAACTGTAGCAGCAGGTGATATCTTTTCAACCTTCTAGAGCAATGGGTCTCATCCTGTGGGTCCCCATATGTTTTGGCCTTCAACTCCCAGAAATCCTAACAGCTGGTAAACTGGCTGGGATTTCAGGGAGTTGTAGGCCAAAACACCAGGGGACCCACAGGTTGAGAACCACTGTTCTAGAGTGAAACCTGGGAACAGTTTGTGGAGCTTGAATGGGTGTACAGAAGAGAGGATTTCAGCAGATATCAAGACAGTAATAAGCAGCACCTGCCTAAATGTCCTCTTCTGCAGAACCGTGAATGGTCCAGAGTTCTCTTCAGTTTTCTCTTGAGCAGCCCCAAACATTTCCACCATAGATTTGTAGAGTTGGACCATTTCATTGACTCCTACCAATATAAAAAACCTCAGCTACCTGACAAGTTGGCCATCCAATCTCTGTTTAGAAACCTGCAGTAAAAGAGAGTTCACTACTTTCCAAAATATCCGATTGCATAGGTGTGTAGTATACATCTATAGGAGTTATTGAATTGGTAAAACTTGAGAACAGACTAGTTGAGGTTTTTTTAAAAGGGGGGGGGGACTTAAGCATGTGACATATTGTAGTTAAGAAAGATCTTTCCTGGGCCTAAAATGTTGGGCCTAAATTCATCCTTAAACTCTTTTAAACCACTTAAAGAATCTCCAGCGGGCATTTCCTAGTTGCTGCACTCAGCAGGGGAGTCCCAGTCAGCTCAAGCCAAAGCAAACTGCTGCAGCCTCTTCTAGATCGTGTATTCTTCCTCATTAATAACTTTTTTGTGATCTTGGCCACACTCTGATAGTGCTTGGTGACATGTGGGCCAATTTTCAACCATGAAATGTTGAAAAATATACCTACATACCACTCAATAATAAATTGTGTTGAATTCTGGATGGCTTACTCTAAGGTAAGTGGCTATGGGATAGAGGTGAGACTTGGACAACTGCATGGTGAGGTTGCTTTTCATAGCCCAACAATCAGAAATAGTCATACAAGGCTTCAGGTGAGTGAACCTTTTGATACTAATCAGCACTGTCCTTTCCAGAAAGTTGTGGATGTCAGAAGGATATTCAGTTTAGATGGCCTTTCCATCACAGTGTTTCTTGGATGGGCAGTAATAGGCAGTTAGGCACTCTAACATGAATGCTCAGCAGTGGATTTGTCAGTCTGGACTCTTGTGTTGAATTTGTGATTTAAAAAAATAAGATAATTTGAAAAGTGACTTAGAATATTAGAAAAAAATCTACCAAACCAGGACCTCCCCTCAGTACACACTGCTCTAAAACCCATGTACCTCTGCCAAAACTGCACATATCTAATGCAATCATGTATACAAATATTTTGGGATGTTGTGTAGGATTTGGATATATTATACCATCATTGCGCTGTATTTCAGAAACAAACAACTACCTGTGCTTTATGTTAAGAGTTATTTGGAGCCATCATGCTTTTAAAATCTTAAAAATGCAATTTGAACCTTTGACTTAAATGTTGGTGGTTTTTTGACTTGTTTTGTAAAATAAAAATAAATGTGTGTCTAGTTATGTGGTTGGAGTTCTTGTTTGCTGATTTAGCACTTTCACTGAATGGAGCCAAGATGAAACAATATACAAAGGGAACTACTCGAACTAAAATGTTTCCTAAGTAACTCACAGATTTCAGGAGACTGCATTCCTCATTAAGGTGACCATGTACCAAGACATTTCCTTGTTTTTGTATAGTATTTAAAAATTGAATGACAATAAAGTTATAGATGTGTAGACCATGGACCCTTGAGATGTTGGAATGCAACTTGTCCAATTTTTATATGAATTCTTTCTTGACCAAAAATGATAGAATGGGGCTGAAGAGCTATGGATATACAGCAGAGTCTTGCTTATCCAACCTTCACTTACCCGACGCTCTTATCCGATGACCCTTTTTCCCTCCAGCATTTTCCCTTCAGTTAAAGGAGCGCTCCCCAACTTTCTCTCCATTTCCAATAAGTGAAAAAAAGGCAAGACAAGGAGGAGAAGGAGGGAAGAAAAGGGAGAAAAGAGGCAGGACTGGAAGCGGAAGTTCTCCTTCCTTCCCTCTATGATTTCCACGCTCCTCTTCCGCATCCGGGCACTTCCTGCTGGACCCTCTAGCCCTGAGGCATTGCCTTGCCTTTGAATCCCTGTTGTTCGTATTCTAGGTGTCTAGTGCCGAGTTGGAAGGGTAATAGTAGGAGACTCTGTATTATCTGACATTATCATTTATCTGACGTTTATGTTGGAAAAGCAAGACTCTACCATATTTCCAAAGTGGAATAAACATGTATTGTTGTTTTTCCAATGTACTGGATTACACACATATTTCTTTATGTTCTGAAAGCATTCACAAAGTTTATCCCCACCAATAATTCAGTAATTCATTGTTTGTTGAGATTTTTATTTTTCATCATTTATTTGAACTTTGAAATCTCTGCTAAAGGGAGACAGTTTTGCTATGACAAAACACAAGTGCCATCAGTGTCGAATATTCCAACTGCAAGATGAGATGTTTGCTTTATGACTTTAATAAAGATTGACCAACTAGTGCTGTGTGAATTCAGTTTCTCTTCTAATCCAGAACAGGGTGCCTTAAATTTAAGCCTCAAAAAAAGACTGTATATCTGGAAATGTATGGTGAGTAGAGTTCTACAAGTAGCTTTCCGCTGCAGCGATGCATGTCTATACACAGCCTACAGTAGTGGCTTGCTCCGAATATGCAAGCCTGCTGCTCCTCTTTGTGATATAGAAGAAAGAGTCACTTAGGATAATAACAGGCCTAAATTCACAAAGAGGAGTGGAAATTGGTCAATTTTTGTCCTCCACATTTTGAGCCTGCAATCCTAATAATACCTATTAGGAAATAAAATTAATTTAATTTTCTTCTCTGTAGACATGAACAAGTATTGGCTGCAATTGATTAATATGTTATTAGCTTAGCATCGATATTTAATGTAAGCAATTACAAGACTGTTCCTTATCAAACTGGGTTCTTGACTAGATGTGTGATGTGTTTAGGTAGAATAAAGCACAGCAATAATATAGCATGAAGCCATAGCTACATAGTACTTATAATTCATCTCCAAAGTTCCTACTACAGGTAGCCCCGAGTTACAAACAACTGACTTACAAATGACTCATAGTTAAAATAAGGGGTGAGTCAACAGGAAGTGAGAGGAGTCTATCCCTTGGAAGGGAAATTCACTGCTGAAAGAGTTATCACGGGGGAAACGGTGTCTCCACTGAGCTTTATCACCAATCCTTGTTTCCACAACAAGGCGAAATTTTCAAAATCCAATGATCACAGGGACAGAAAGTGAGGTTAAATCTTCTGAACAGGGGCACAGATAGCAAAACAAACACTACAGGGGTGTTAACCCTTCCCTATATTATCTAAAGCTCTCTCTCTCTCTCTCTCTCTGTGTGTGTGTGTGTGTGTGTGTGGCTGGAGTTACACTTAAAAATGTACCTGTTCCAACTTACATACAAATTCAACTTAACAGAATCTCTCTTTTTCATAACTTGGGGACTGTCTGTACTTGGATGTGGAGCTGGGATTAATTGAGTTATAATATGGAGAAGCCTAACAGTCTTTTCACGTTGAAAGGCGCTTGTCTGAAAGTGCTTGAACCGAATTCTGCAAGTGAGTTAGGAGAGCAGCAGAAGGCACGATTTCTAGGTCTTAATATTTAGTAGGCATATGCTCTGTTACAAATATAGCAGGGCAGTGTATAAATATACAGAAAAGCATGCATTGTTGCGTGTAAGGTAAGAAAGAGTTGTGGGAAAGGTTTTCCAAAAATTCATCCCTTAAAAACTTCAGCTTCATGGATATTCCAAAGGATTTCTTTTTGGTTGTCTTCTGCCCCTGCTTAATGAGATTCATTTTCTTTTGATACTCCCAGAAGCTGGGATAGCTGCATGTTCCCAAGGATCTCAGAAAAAAAAACATATTTAGTTTCCAAATATTCCCTATAACAACAACAATAAAAAGCTGGTGGCATGGATAAGATCTCCTGTCATCTCTTCCCGGCATCTGAGCCATCACAGCATCCTCTTCATTCAGTATTGTCTGCAGAAGGCTCAGAAGTGGCTTTCACCAAACAAATGGTATCTCCTTCATGGTCTGCCTCAGGTACAATTTGCTCTTTCCCCCGCATATACATTTCCCGAATGCCATTTACCACATCTGATCCTACTGTGATATTTTCCATGAATGCTTCTGCAAGAAAAGGAGATAATTGTTTGTCAAGTTCCCTTGATCTTAAAACTCATTACTGGGTTTCCATCATAGACTTATAGAATTGGAAGAGACCACATGGGCCACCTAGTCGAGCCCCCTGCCATGCTGGAAAAGTACAATTAAAGCACCCCTGCCAGATAACCATTCAGTCTCTGTTTAAAAGCTTCCACCACACTCCGAGGCAGAGAGTTCTACTGTTGAACAGTCATCACGGTGAGGTAGTTTTTCCTAATGTTTAGGTAGAATCTCCTTTCCCGCAAATTTGAACCCTTTGCTCCAAGTCCTTGTCTCCATGGCAGTAGAAAACAAGGCCTTTTAGATATCCAAACGTGGTGATCATGTCTCCTCTCAACCTTCTCTTCTGCAGGCTAAACATGCCCAGCTCTTTAAATCACTCCTCATATGGCATGATCTCCAGACCTTTGGTCATTTTAGTTGCCCTCCTCTAGACACCTTCCAGCTTGTCAATTTCCCTCTTAAATTGTGGTGCCCACAATTGGACACAGGGTTATTCCAGGTGATGTCTGACCAAAGCAGACTAGAGAGGCACCATGGCTTCCCTTGATCTAGACCATTGGTTCTCAACTTATGGGTCCCCAGATGATTGGGTCTTCAACTCCCAGAAATTCTAACAGCTGGTAAACTGGCTAGTATTTCTGGGAGTTGTAGGCCAAAACACCTGGGGACCCACAGGTTGCGAACCACTGGTCTAGACACTATACTCTTTTTGATGAAGCCCAAAATCCCATTGGCCTTTTTAGCTGCTGCATCACACTGTTGGCTCATGTTCAACTTGTCAACTAAGACTCCAAGATCTTTTTCACATGGACAGTTGTCGAGCCATATGTCACCCATCCTTTATCTGTACATTTTGTTTTTTTCTGCCTAAGTGTAGTATCCTACATTTCTCCTTGTTGAAATTCATTTTGTTAGTTTTGCCCCAGCTCTCTAACCTGTTGTGGTCATTTTGAATTCTGATCCTGTCTTCTGGAGTATTAGCTATCTCTCCCAATTTGGTGTTATCTGCAAGGTTGAAAAGCATGCCCTCTCAACCTTCCTCCAAGTCATTAATAAAGATGTTGAACACTTTCCTTGAAGTCATATCACAGGTTTTCTTGGCAAGATTAAATTATTGGGTTTGGACAGTTGCCTTTGCTTTCCTCCATAAAAATGGGTTTCCATCAGAGATCAACAGAGGTTTGAACCATGATCTAGGGAAGAGCATAGATGCAGCTCTGAGTAATGGTTTGAGCATTGAACCATGACTCTGGAATCATGGTTCAATGCTCAAGCCATTACTCAGTGCTACATCTATGCTCTTCCATTGAACTCTGTATACTCTTAAACTTTATAATTCCATTACATCCTAGTTTCAGCTCCCTGCAATCTTCTGCACCTTCCTGCATAACACTACTCCTTCAACATCATCCATCTGATGATACTTTTCTCCAGAAAGTGGATGGTGTTACATAGTTCCTGATCCACATTTCTGAAAATCTTCAAGTTTCCTGTCCATGCTGATTGTTCTTACTTATCTGCCCCACCCTTTTCAAAATCAAGCTATCAATAAAACAAATATTTTTTTAAAAAAAACTCGAAGAGCCCTTTAGGTAAAGGTTTTCACCTGGCATTAAGTCTAGTCATGTCTGACTCTGAGGGTTGGTGCTCATCTCCATTTCTAAGCTGAAGAGCTGGTGTTGTCCGTAGATACCTCCAAGGTCTTGTGGCCAGCATGACTACATGAAGCACCGTTTCCTTCCCGCCAGAGCGGTACCTATTGGTCTACTCACATTTGCATGTTTTCGAACTGCTAGGTTGGCAGAAGCTGAGCCTAACAGCGAGAGCTCACCCCACTCCACAGATTCGAACCTGCAACTTTTCAATCAGCACGTTCAGCAGCTCAGCGGTTTAACTCACTGTGCCACCGGGGACTCCAAACCTTTTAGTATACCAATAAAAGTTGTTCCCCATTATTGTTGTGAATGGTCTAGTGTACCTCCAAGTCAGTTTGGTTTTACAAAAGTTTCAACACTGCTCATACATTGAATGGTAAGTCAACACTTCTGTAAAACCCACTGATTCAATGAGTCTACTCTAGGAAGGAGTACAAGTAACATTCAGGATTTGGATTTTGTATTTATGGCTTCTTTTGATAGAAGAAGAATAAAAAATAATTCCAATAATTATTTGGGGGGGGGGGGGTTACTGATCAATAATGCCAGTTTGTGTCCTGATAGGGAGCTATAATGTCATACCAAACATAGAGGTGATACATTAATTCTGTTTGTCGATGGTGATTTGTGTAAGCTACTCTAGTCATTTAGCAGATAGAGACAAGTTCTGATAACCAAGATTTTTTTAAAAAAAATACTGTTGGCATCTTCTTACCTCTTCTGTGGCCAAAGGGATTCACAACAAATCGTTTCCCTCTCTTTTTCCTCATGTAGAACAGAATTCCAACAATAATTACGATGATAGCTAAGAGACCCAGAATCACCGCAGCAATTGTACCTGAACCTGTGGGGGAGGACAGAAGCAAAATTGAGAATAAGAGATGTCAGATTTGCATAATAAACCCAAGCCATCGCCTCCTCTGGACAGGTAGTTACCTGACGATCCTGCACATTCCGCTCCTGCATAGGAGCCGCAGATGCACTTATTGGGTCCTGCTGGCACAGCCTTGCATTCAGTCAAATTCATCTCTGATCCAGAACACTGGACTTCATCCAGAAAGGCTGAGCCAACACCCATGCCATATTTATTGCCTGTTGGTGCAGACAACGCTGCCCCACAACCCAGCTGTCGGCACACCACCGTGGCTGCTGAGAGTTTCCAGCCAGAGTCACCAATTGTGACCCAAGAGCCGTTGTGTTTGAACTCCACCCGGCCACTACAAGAATTGGGTCCACCGGCCAACTGGATCTCAATTTGGCCTGGAAAACAAAGGGGAAAAGTCACACGTTAGTCCCCACTGTATAAATGACCTGAATGGTAGCATATGTCATGTGAAGTCATCTTACCAAGGAGGCTTTCTTGGTGCCTCATGGGCTACCATCTCCCCTAAACAGATCAAATATTGTCACTTGAATATTAGAACATGCCACAGTCAGAAGCCAGGTTTTGACCCAGACATGTTCTCTAAACAAACCACAATCTATAAAAATATGTCTCTTTGTGACTGAAAAGTACATCTTGTGCCTTGTCCATAAGGGGCTCACATTGGTTATTTCTTGTACATCTAGTTGGAAACAATATGTACAAGCCTGGAACCCCAGGTCTCAGCGGTGGCCAGGGGAGCATTCGTACAGTTAAAATAGTGCACCAGCTGCATCCGTACCTTGGGAAGTCTGATCTAGCCACAGTGGTCCACACCCTTGTTACATCCCAAATAGACTAGTGCAATGCACTCTATGTGGGGTTGCCTTTGGAGACTGTTCGGAAACTCCAACTAGTCCAACAGGGGGCAGCCAGATTACTAACTGGAGTGACATACAGAGAGCATACCACTCCCTTGTTGTGTCAGCTCCATTGGCTGCCGGTCCATTTCCAAGCATAATTCAAAGTGCTGGTCTTAACCTATAAAGCCCTATACTGTTACAACCCAGTTTACTTGTCCAAACATAGCTCCCTCTATATCCCACCTCGAACTTTAAGAAAGTTCGGGGAGGCCCTAATCATGATCCTGCCTTCTTGGTGGGGATGAAAGACAGGGCTTTCTCGGTGGTGAGCCCCCACTTCTGGAACACCCTCCCCAGCGCGATTAGGTCAGCTTCATCCCTCCTCTCCTTCAGGAAGAAGCATAGATCATGGTCCTGGGGCCAGGCATTTAGGGAGCAGACTTGATAGCGATTGCAATGTTTATGTGAACTGACAATGGACAGGCTCTGAGAAAGTCTTGGGGTGCTGACATGGTTGTTGATAATATTTTTAAATTGATTTTAACGTAATGTTTATACATTTTATTTAATGTGTAATGTTATGATATGTTGTGCATGTATTTGGTATGTGTTGGCATCTAATTGCCATTTTAAGCCACCCTGAGTCCCCTTTCAGGGGTTGAGAAGGACAGGGAACAAATGTTGGAAATAAATAAAATAAAATATTAACACTGCTTGAATATAGTGTTACTGGGAGCCAACAATGGGAGGTCGGTTGCCTTCCTAGAAGTCAATTTGGTCACAATTTGTCTTTGTCTACTCCTGCTGGCCATTTTTCTAGTCAGAATAGTTTTCTCCTTGTTTCTTCACTCCCTTTCAATTTTCTAGATACTACTACTACTAACACAAATAACAATAATAATACTTTATTTGTAGTCCACCTTATCTCCCCAAGGGGATTCAGGGTGGCTTCCGGCATAATAAAGAGAAACATTAAATGCCTGTATAAAACTGAAGTAAAAATATAAACAACAAATGATAAAATACATTATATAAGTTAAGACAAGTAATTTAAATTAGGGCTCTCTGATGAGTGTACGTCACTCTCGTTGCTCCCCTAGGATGGTCTGAAAGAAGGGCCACTATTTCCACCTTTGCAGGGTGCCACCTTTAGAAGGTGGGTGAGTTCCCAGCGATATGGCCTTCTGGTAATGTCCCAGATTGAGGCAGGAGAAGCAGCAACAGGATTCACTCCTTCCCACAGATGCCTCCACAGCCTACTTGGGGCTTGGGAATGACTAATGGCCAGCAAGTATGAGTACAATGGGCAGAGATGAAGTCATGGATTCATAACCCAATTCAGACTAGTCTCCACCCAGCACAAAAAGAAAAAGAAAAAATAAATTTAAATTAAATTTACAGATATAGCTGTAAGGGGAAATGCCCATGAAGAATCTTGTGGAGGAATTTTTAGAGGGGAGGATGAAGGAAGTATTGGCAAAGCAGATATACACCTACTGATTTATTTACTAAAAGCAACACCCTCCTAATTGGTCTCAGCTGGGTTTACTCCCATTATTAATTTTAAGTTAGGGTTTTATATCAAGCATCTGTGTGAAACCTGTAGTTTGCACCTTGAAGGAGTTACCTGAGCATACCACACTTGCATCCTCTGCGTGGTCACAGTCGTGTTCTCCCACGGAGCGGCCGCCACATTCTTTGAGGGATTTTTCTGTCCCCGTGCAGTTTACATCGTCCAGGACAATGGGGCCTGGACCACGTCCAAAATGTGCTCCGTGGGGGGCCTCCAAAGCAATGCCACAACCCAGTTGCCTACAGATAACAGTGGCATCTGGCAATCCCCATCCGTCGTCGCATACAGTTCCCCACTGCTGCTGGTGGAAAACCTCAACTCTTCCGGCACAAGAATGTGGACCATCTTGTAGTCTGATGTTCCCCACATTCAGGGTGGGTGATGCTAGAGAGTCAAGCACGATATATTCAATACAAGTATAAACATATGTATGAATAAATCTCTATCCATGCTAAGAAAGGTGAATCCGTTGGCTAAGAATGGTCTTTGAACATTTGAATCTAGCCACTGAAGACCCTGCTAATCATGGTGAAGATTGAAAAATGGTACAAAAAGTGTATTATCACCCAGTAGGGATTAGGTTATACACAGCTAAGACATGTCACAGTGTGTTTTCAATGGACAGGGCAAGTTTTAGGCAGTTGACACTGTTTGGAAAAACTCAGTGAATGTGAGGATGCCAAAACAACAGCAAAGCTAGGAAGTCAGATTTCAAAGCAGGAGAGGGAAAGATAAGGCTGTCCATCACAACATTTCTTATTTCCTCAAGGTACAATAACTTTAACTTATTTTTCTTTAATTGTGTCTTTCCTTAAAGCAGTGGTTCTCAACCTGTGGATCCCCCAGGTGTTTTGGCCTACAATTCCCAGAAATCTCAGCCATTTTAGGATTTCTGGGAGTTGAAGGCCAAAACATCTGGGAACCCACAGGTTGAGAACCACTGACTTAAAGTATTAAAGGGGAAGACAGATTATCACCTCTCCCATACAACATACTGATGTCCCAACATCTGCTCTCTTCATGGTATAGGAAATTGGCATAGAAGGCATTGTCAGAAATATTAAATATTTACTAGGTATTTTTAACGGCGCTCCATGCAGTCATGCCGGCCACATGACCTTGGAGGTGTCTACGGACAACACTGGCTCTTCGGCTTAGAAATGGAGATGAGCACCACACCCCAGAGTCAGACATGACTGGACTTAATGTCAAGGGACTACCTTTACCTTTTTATTTTTAATTACAAAAATGGGAGTCAAGCATTGAAAGGGTTAAATGGATACAATCATTCAGCAAAAGCTGCAGTTCAATATAAGCAGGTGTGTGCCGTCACACCCAGACCCTATAAAATCAAAACTAAGATGTGCTTCTCTCTTTGTCTGGGTGGACTGCGGGGTCTTTCTTTAAAAGCTCAAAAATTCTCAGCAACTGAGGCCACTTCAGGTTTGGAACATCAAAACAGAATATTTATTTCTCAAAGTCCTTGCAGACTTGGCACAGCTTGTCAAAGTTACAAACAAAACAGTCAATTGGTGAAACCATACAGATTTTCTTTCTTTCTTTTTTCTTCAGTTACTGAGGTAACTCTTCCCCAAATGGTAGAAAATATCCTGGGATCCTTTCACCCTAACCCTGAGCTGCTATGGTTAGAAAAAACAGGGGGGTTTCCCTATCTATAGCTCAAGGTTAGTTTTGGAGATAAAGTAATGCTCAATAATATTGAACTCAATATCTATCTATGATTCAATAAGCTTCTCTATCTATCTTTCCATCTATATGACTTAGTTAATTAACTTCTCTATATCTCAGTTGCTATCTATAACTCAATTATATCTCAATTGCTGTTCTATCTATCTCAATTAGCTTCTTTATCTATATAACTCAATCCTCAATTCGCAATTAGACCCAATATTACTCAATCATATCTCAATTGCTATTCTATCTCAATTAGCTTCTTTATCTATAGTATCTCAATTGTACTTACAATGATTTTTTTCAGAGCTACCTGCCTAACCAACAGCACATCTGAAGCTTTCTTTCTCCACACTGAAGGAGGCAGGGAAGATTCCAAAATGGAGACCTCAAACCCTAGGAAAAAGGGCGGTCTCTAAACCCAAAGAGATACTTTCCTAAACCAATAGCTTCAAAAGGGCCTGCATGCTGGCTTTGTAGACTCTGATACTGTTTAACTTCCAGGGTGCTGCTGGGTCTGTAGCAGCCCTGGGGAAATGCAAAAGAACACTATCCCATGCAACTAAAAGGTAACGCAAACTATGCTCCTGGAAGACGGAACAAGGTGTGCCCTTAGTAGCTTCAGTCTGTGAGCGGTCTCTGTGGAAGGACTTCAGTGTGTTAGTAGGCCTCAGTATGAGTAGGCCTCAGTGTTTGTTTGCCTCAGTGTGAGAGAGAGGCGTCAGTTTGAGAGCCCTGTGTGAGGCAGGCCTCAGTGTGATGTAGGTCTTAGTGTTAGTAGGCCTTGGTATGAGTAGGCCTGGTGTTGGGGATTCCTCATCTTCGGAAGAAGAAGGGGAGCAGGGAAGTGCTCAGGAATTGGAGGGAGAAGAAGAATCAGACAATGAGGCTTTGCAAGTGCCTACATTTTTAGAGAGACGAAGGGAGACAGAGCACAGACGGCGGTCAGCTCGAATAGCTGCTAAAAATGCTGAGCTAATTAGGAGACACCTAGCCCCTGCTGTGTGGGGTATAAATCAGAAGCAGAAGCAGTCGGCTTCTGCTGCTAACAACTACTCTGTTGCTGACTGAACCTGCTTTGTGTCTGCTGCTAAGGACTTCATGATCTTTACCTATTGTCTGCTGTTTCTTTTGGGACTTTTGGAAGAGACTTTCATCTGTGTCTGCATTAAGACTTCCTTGTTTTTTCAATTGCATTTGCTTATCATTCTGTTTGCTGAAGTAAAGCATTTTTCTTTTACTTTCAGCCTTGTATTAAGGCTGTTTTTGAAGAGCAAAACAGGACTCCTGGTATGTGAGAAGCTTCAATGAGAAAAAGGCCCTGGTTGAAGGCCATTGTGTGTGAAGGCTGCTGTGTGTAAAGCTACTGTGTGAAGCTCCTATGTAAGTTCGGTGTGAGAAGAGGCTCTGTAAGAGCAAAACTGTTTATCTGCATGAGAAAGAAGCCCAGCATGGAAGCAAAGAAGGAAGTATAAAAAATGCCTCACAATGGGCAGTAACAATAGAATTAGGTCGTTTGAGTGACATGAAGCATCCTCCCTCTATGTTGTCTATCTAACTTTTCATTTGCATATCCCTCACATCTAACATAGATGTTTGCCATCATTTCACTAATTTCTTGTCCCATTGTTTCCTGGTCATGTTTAACAAACATTCAAAGTTACTGTGGTTGATTACCTGAACAAATAACTCCTGCATCATGCCTGTGGTTGCAAGTATTTGTCCCTTGCCAGTTTATATTGCACTCATGGAGAGTAACTTCGGAGCCTTTGCAGTTGATGTCATCAAAACAGACGGAGCCTGATCCAGGTCCAAAATGAGCTCCACCTGGGGCTGATGAAGCGATTCCACATCCCAGTTGACCGCACAGAACTGAAGCAGCATTTAAATCCCAGGTTCGGTCGTATATAGTTCCCCATTGATCATTGTGAGGTGATCGAATCTCAACTCTCCCACTGCAGCGATTTGAGCCATTGATCAGCCTGACATTCTCTGAGAAGAGAGTGAAAAGCAATGGGGAAAAAATGAAGATTAGACCTTACTGGGAATAAACCCAAATGACTCTAAACGTGTGCAGATTTCTAACAATTTTTTCTATAGAGAAGGGCAACTGCTTGGGTGAAGATTGGCTTTGAGATCGGCAGGGGAGGCCCTTCTCTCAGTTCCACCAAAATCTCAAGTGTGATTGGTGGGGATGAGAGAGAGGGCCTTCTCTGTAGTGGCTCCCCATCTCCAGAATACCCTCCCAAAAGAGATTAGGTTGGCCCCACCCATACTCCTTCCGATCCAGCCTAAAATCATGGATTTTAAAGCAGGCTTTTGGCCTCGAGTAGGCTGAAATGGACCCATATGAGGTTGACACTTTGGCACTTTAGTTGTGAATTGAAGCCAGCAAGTTTTAACCACAGGTGGTCTGCATTTTAAACTGTTTTTTTATTGTAATTTATGTATTGATAGTGGTTGTTTTTATGACTTTTATGTGATATTGTTTTTATACTCATGTACCCTTTATGTTATATATTTATTTATTTATTTACATTATTTCTATCCCGCCCATTTCAGCCCGAAGGCGACTCAGGGCAGTATACACAGTCGGCACAATTCGATGCCAAAACAATGTACTACACTTGTAGTGCCTTGTAAGCTACCCCGAGTCCCTTTGGGGAGATGGTGGAGGGATATAAATAAAGATGATGATGATGATGATGATAGTAGAGTCTCTCTTATCCAACCTTCACTAATCCAACATTCTGTATTATCCAACGCAGTCTGCCTCTCGCCTGGATCCACAGGTGAGGGAAGGGGAGTGTATATTTACCTGTGGAATAATGTCCAGGGTGGGAGAACGAAATAAAACTTATCTGTTTTGGTGCTAAATTTGTAAATACAGTAATTGCTACATAACGTTACCATGTATTGAACTGCTTTTTCTGTTGATTTGTTGTTAAACATGATGTTTTGATGCTTAATTTGTAAAATAATAATGTAATTTGCCATTTAATAGGCTTTTCCTCCATCCCGTCTTATTATTCAACATTTTCCCTTATCCAACGTTCTGCCAACCTGTTTATGTTGGATAAGCGAGGCTCTACTATATTATTATTATTATTATTATTATTATTATTATTATTATTATTATTATTATTATTACCTGGTCCTCTCAGCCACACGGACTACCAAAAATATCAGTAGGAGTGTCTACTTCTGGTTTCCAAACATTGATATTGTAAAGCAATATCATATAACTGTGAGCTGTTCAAAAGTTTCTAGAAGCTACCTTTTCTGGAAGCTTCTAGAAGCTTCATCCAGCTGTAACCACCAAAAAAACAGCTATGTTTTGTCAAGGGACGTCAAAACTGCTAAACATTTTACTGTTGTTTAAGGCTGGATCTGCAGGGCCATCTAATGCAGTCTGAATCTGCATTATACGTTCAGTATAGACCCATATAATGCATTTTGACTGGATTTAATTGCTTTGTATGAGTCTTCAGGGCCATATAATGCAGTCTGATCTGTATTAAATGGTCAGTGTAGATAGGGCCTCAGATAGCATCTCAAATATCTTCTGGCAGGCTTAGTCCTATCTGAAAACAAAGCTGTGACTGGGCAAGTTATGGCTCAAATTATACCCAAGAGCAGAATGATACTTAAAAAATACTTTATATTTTTACTGTTTATTTATTGAATTTTACTTATGTTAAATGTTTTAATTGTTTTTATGTTATTGCAGGTATTGAATTGTGCCGTTTGTAAACCACCCTGAGTCGCCCTCAGGCTGAGAATGGTGGTATATAATTATAGTAAATAAATAATAAATAAAGAGTCTAAAACAAAACCTTGAGGTTTTTTTTCCATTGATCTCTCTAAATAAACAACATTTCCCAACATAAAAAGGGGCTGTCACAATAGTCTTGGTAGCTTCAATGCCTTCAAGTATTGTAGCATACACTTGTCTGCATTCCCAATGAAGAACACAAATGCACATCTTTTCCTTACAGAAAAAATGTGTCATGCCCACATGATAGATGTCATAGGATTTTGTTACCTTTAGCAAGGAGCTAACATCAACAAGGCAACATGGACTTAGGAAGAACCCTGCTGAATCAGGCCAAGGATCCAACATTCCGCTTCCAACAATAATCAACCAGATGGACATGGGATGCCCACATGTGAAACATGGGGACAGTAGCTATCTTTTTTTTTTTTGTCTTCTAGCAGTTGGTATTCAGTGGGCTTCAGAGGGAAAATGTAGACTAAAGCTTTAGTACTTTAAACATATAGCTGAAAGAGACAATTCAATTGAAGACCAGGAATATCCTAGTAGATTATGGACAGCAGGACAGACCTTCTATTGGAGAGTGTTGCATAAAAAGATTACCTGAACATATAACACCAGCATCTTCTCCATGATTACAATCATTGCTTCCCCAAGGCTTGGCCGTGCAAGAAGAGAGAGATGTTTCTGTTCCTGTACATTCCACATCGTCCATCCAGATAGGATCAGCTCCACGTCCAAATCGAGCCCCACGGGGAGCGGAAAGGGCTGTTCCACAACCAAGGTACCGGCACACAACCACGGCCTCATTTATGTCCCAGCTGTCATCGCACACAGTTCCATACTGGTGCAGGTGAAAGACCTCCACCCTACCAGAACACCGATGTGAGCCATTGACCAACCTCAACTCCACTGGGTCTGAAATGGTAAAAGAAAAATGTTAGAAATACTGAAAGTCTGCTTTTGAAATGGCAGGGAGAAGGTTTGAGGAAAAAAGACAAAAGAGAGTTCCTGAGGTCTGTAAAAGCACAGTTTATTCTCGGTCGGCGCCAACCAGATATGGACCCTGCTGGTGTTCCAGAAAACAGAATACTGAACAAAAGAATTGTCTTAGTTTATATACCCTTTAAAATAATATGCATGAATCATACAAGCCTCACAATGTGTGTCACAAAATTCCACTTTTACATTGATTTCAATAGCATATTTTAACTTCAACACTTTCAATCTTCCATTAAGCACCTTTATCTAAAAAGCTGCTCATTAGTAGACTATAGCACCGGCTACTGATAGCAACAAGAGCTTTCATCCATCTTAAGATAAGTCCTTCCTGAAGAAGCCTCTTGATAGCCAGGCTCATTAATCTTACGATAAGCCCTGCTTGGTACGAGTCCTGATATTTGCCAGATGCCTTTAGACATTCCTTTCCTGGACCCTGACCTCTTTCTGGCCTCTTTGTGGCATCTTAATTTGCAGCTTTTAAGAAGAGAATATTTTCCCAAGTGAAGGGAAGTTCGTGCATACATACACATCCTTTGTGGTTTCATTTATATTTTCTAATTCCTACTTCTAATATGGTTACATCCAATATATTTTCCAATATGTGTATTATGTATTTTCAAGATACCTATGAGCATAGGTAAAAGACTACAAAAGGTACCAGGCATGTTTCAGCCTGTGTCTAAAATAGAAAATTGTCTAATCCTGGATGCCTTGGAAAGAAACTTGAGTCACAGTCAGGATCACATGGGGAAGATCAGCACCAAGTAAAAACTTCACATAAAATTTCACTTGACTGGCTGGTAAGTTTCTCAGTAGGGGACTAATTATGTAAACTGCATGAAAACAGAATATGGTAGATGCATTCTACTTCCTGTTTGTTATATGGGCAGAGTCTTTCATTATATCGGATATCCGCAAATCCGCAAATCTCCCACGCAACAGTTCAGACGGGAACACATTACACCTTGCCTTGGAAAATAGGCAGCGGTATTTGGCCACAGTCAAGTTCTTTAGATAATTTGCTGCATGGAAAGGCCCAACATAATGTATGGACAGGGCACTTGGGGAGCAAGATACATATGAACAAGAGTGCAGCTCACAAAAAGCAATATCCCATATACACTGTCCTATTTCCCAGGATTTGATCCTATATTATCTTTTTATATGAGTCTACACTGCCAAAATATTTGGGATAAGCAAATAATCGAGGATCAGATCCTGGGATATAGGAAGTGTAGATCCAGCCAAGCTTTTTAGAATGCTTTTTTTCATGTCAGAAGCAACTTGAGAAACTGCAAGTTGCTTCTGGTGTGAGAGAATTGGCCATCTGCAAGGACGTTGCCCAGGGGACGCCTGGATGCTTTAATGTTTTACCATCCTTGTGGGAGGCTTCTTATATGTTCCCACATGGGGAGCTGGAGCTGACAGAGGGAGCTCATCCATGCTTTTGGGGAGCTGGAGCTGACAGAGGGAGCTCATCTGTGCTTTCGCCGGATTCGGACCTCCAACCTGTCGGTCTTCCATCCTGCCGGCACAGGGGTTTAACCTGTTGTGCCACCAGGGTCTCTGGTGAATTTTAGAATGCTGAGAGGAGGACACACTTGAATTTCTATCTTGAAAGATGTCTAATGTGTGCTAGAATGGAGCAGACTGTCTTAGAATGAGATCTAAAAGAAGGCCACTGGTGTTGAGCAGAAAGAGCAGCAGATTCATGGGGAAAGGAAGGAGTCCTACAGATAACCTGGCTGCAAACTGTTACACAATAAGCATAGATTACCTGCACACTCGACACCAGCATCTTCTCCATGGTTGCAGTTGTTGTGTCCCCAGCTGCTTGCTGAGCAATCTCTAAGGGAAGTTTCTGTTCCTAAGCAGTTTACATCATCCAGCCAGATTGGCCCTGTCCCTTGTCCGTAGAATGCTTTTGTGTGAGCTTTCAAAGGGACGCCACAGCCCAGTTCCCTGCAGACAACTTCTGCCTGTTTAGAGCCCCAACGGTCATCACACACGGTCCCCCATTCCTGGTCATGGAATATTTCCACTCTCCCTGAACATCGAGTTGTGCCGTTTGTCAGCCGGAGTTCTAAAAGGAAGCCAAACATTGTTAGAAGACAGGCATATTGCCACAGTTCATGGACATTTAATTATTGAAAATCATAGAATCAGAGAGTTGGAAGAGATTTCATGGGCCATCCAGTCTAACCCCCTGCCAAGAAGCAGGAAAATTGCATTCAAAGCATCCCCGACAGATGGCCATCCAGCCTCTGTTTAAAAGCCTCCAAAGAAGGTTGGCCAATGTCTCATAAAAAGCTTGAATGAGCTTCCTGCCCCCCATAAAGGGGAAGGAGAAAGAAGCATTCCCTCTTCATCTATTCCACTGCCAAAGCAATCTGCTGGTGCTTGTAGGAAGAACCCTCTCCAAAAAGCAAAGAAATTATTAAACTTCAGCTATCATCAGGATGCAGTTGCTCACACTGGGCATTTAATACATAGATGAGCTAACAGTGTTGGGGTGTAGTCTTCTTCTATAACAGTTTGGAGGGGGAACTTCTGCTTGTCCACATACAATGGGGTCAAAACCATGTGGCATTTCAGAAGTTGTGGGCTTGCATCTAGAACAGTGTTTCTCAATCTGAGGGTTGAGATCCCTGTGGGGGTCACAAGGGGATGTCACATGGATCACCCAAGATCATCAGAAAGTACTGTAGTTTCTGTTGATCATGGGTGTTCTGTGTGGGAAGTTTGGCCCGATTCTATCATTGGTGGGGTTCAGAATGCACTTTAATTGTAGATGAACTATAAATCCCAGCAACTACAACTCCCAACTGTCAAGGTCTATCTTCCCCAAATTCTACCAGTGTTCACATTTGGAGTTATAGGAAATATAGATATTTATTTATGCATATATTGTACGTACTTTACCAGCACTGAAATGAAAGGAAAATCAGGCTCTCTCTGTATTAGAAAGCCAAGCTGACAGGACAAAGGGAAGCTGAATTATCTGTGTCCAGGCACAGCAAATGGGGGAAGAGAAGGGGGCCTGTTATCTATACATTCCAGAGAGACCTGGTACGGCTTAGCACAGGCCCCTGATGGTTGTGAGCTGCTTTAGAAAAAAATATAGAGACATGCCTCTTGCATGTTGGAAGATCAAATTTGATATTTCTATTATGCTTAAAGTGATGTAGTGATGATGTTACGTATGTAGAAGCCTGTTTATTTGTTTGCCTGCATTTGGAGAGGTATAAAAGGCAAAGTCAATGCCTTTATCCTCACTCTGGTTTGCTTTTGGATGAGAGTCCACTCCAAAGTCTCAGCTGACAATAAAACCGTACTTTTCTTTCTCCCGAAAGGATCCCTCTTGGTATTATCTCTCCTATCTGCTGCTACAGGCATATTGAGGATTTGTGCCAAGTTTGATCCAGATCCAGCATTGCTTGAGTCCACAGTGCTCTCTGGATGTAGGTAAACTACAACTCCATACCTCGAGGTCAATGCCCACTAAACCATTCCAGTATTTTCTGCTGGTCATAGGAGTTCTGTGTGCCAAGTTTGATTCAATTCCATCGTTGGTGGAATTCAGAATGCTCTTTGATTGTAGGTGAACTATAACTCCCAGCAACTACAACTCCCAAATGGCAAAATCAATCCACTCCCAACCCCACCAATATTCAAATTTGGGCATATTGGGTATTTGTCCAGTGAATGAAAATACATCCTGCATATCAGATATTTACATTATGATTCATAACAGTAGCAAAATTATTGTTATGAAGTAGCAATGAAAATAATTTTATGATTGGGGGTCACCACAACATGGGGAACTGTATTAAGGGGCCATGGCATTAAGAAAGTTGAGAACCACAGATCTAGAAAGTTCATAATTCCCACTGTTTAGGAACTGTAATTCAATTATTGCTAGAGCTCAAGGAGATAGACTTGACTCAATTGGATCTTGGTAGGTTAACGCCTTTGTTAGTCTTATTGAAACAATGGGTCTATTATGTGCCATCCTAGCTTATGCTTTCTTCCTCACTAAAAACATTTGCTGACTGGACGACATTCTGATATTGCTTGGCCACATGTATCCCGGTTCTCATCTGTGAACTGTTGGAAGGCATGCAGTATAGCACTGTTTAATGCCAAGACATTACCTGAACAAACAGCACCAGCATCTTCTCCATGGTTGCAATTATGGTCTCCCCAAGCTTTAAGGCGGCAGTCCCTGAGAGCAGCTTCTGTCCCTTTACATTTGACATCATCCAGCCAGATAGGATCAGCTCCTCTTCCAAAGAGGGCTCCTCTTGGGGCAGATTGGGCAACACCACAGCCAAGTTCCCTACACACAACCTGGGCACTGGTCAGATCCCAGCCATCATCACATACTGTCCCCCACTGCTGGTTGTGGAGCACCTCAACTCTCCCAGCGCAGCGGCTTGTTCCGTTCACCAGTCTGACTTCATTTGGGTCTGAAAGAGATAAAGATATAGTTAGTTCTCCCAGGTTTTCATCCTCTTAGCTATGGGACTGGGACATTAGGGAAGTCCAGACATAATATTAAGCTTATTCAAGTGGTTAGTTGGCTATTGTGAAAACAATAGAGATGCAGACTTCTGGTTAGAAGCACCTGATGAACCAACCTGGACACAGCATTTTATTTGAGAACACAGAAATGCTGGACCACTCTCACAACCACCATGTCAGACTACACAGAGAAGCCATTGAAATACACAAGCATGTGGACAATTTCAACAGAAAGGAGGAAACCATGAAAATGAACAAAATCTGGCTACCAGTATTAAAAAACTCTAAAATTACAACAGCACAACACAGAGAGGAAACAAACAAGGACATCTAATCACCTCTCAACAAAAGTTTGCTCGAGGCACTGTCAGGCCATTATATGCTAATCAAGGTGGTCAGTTGAAACATTCACACCTAGCTCCAGCAGATAAGAGTCCTTTGTCTCACCCTGGTCATTCCACAGATATATAAACCCTTTTTCCTAGTTCCAACAGACCTCACTACCTCTGAGGATGCTTGCCATACATGCAGGCGAAATGTCAGGAGATAATGCCTCTAGACCATGGCCATATAGCCCGAAAAAACTAAAACAACCCAGTGATTCCAGCTAGGAAAGCCTTCGACAATACCATTTGAATCACTCTCAAAGGACATTGTGTGAGTCAATGCAACTGTTCACATGACTGTATATATGTTGATCTACATAGCAAAAAGTAAACACCTTATTATTTACTTCTTCTTTTTTTTGTCGTGTCAGGAGCAACTGCTCCTGTTGTGAGAGAATTGGCCATCTGCAAGGACGTTGCCCAGGGGACGCCTGGATGATTTTTGATGTTTTATCATCCTTGTGGGAGGCTTCTCTCATGTCCCCACATGAGGAGCTGGAGCTAATAGAGGGAGCTCATCCGCCTCTCCCCGGATTCGAACCTGCGACCTGTCGGTCTTCAGTCCTGATGGCACAGTGCTTTAACCCACTACGCCACTGGGGGCTCCTTTTTTTTATTTACTGATTATTTACTGATCATATGCTTGGCATATCTTTTCTCCAACAAGACAATGTGTGGATTGGTAAAAACATGAACTACACATTATTTTCACTCCAACTCACGACTCAAATCATCAGGAACAGATGGTCAAGGGGCAGGAATGTGGAGGCATCTCACACAATCATAAAACTGGAGAGACTACAAGCATCATCTAGTCCAACCCCCTGCCATCTAGGAAAATACAATCAAAGCACCCACAACAGATGGCCATCCAGCCTGTACTTAAGTAGAGGGGGTTGGTGCTTCTTTTCAATTCTCCTGAGATGGACTAAGCTCTTGACTTTCTCAGAGAAGGGGATAGTTCCTTTTTTGATAAGTTAAAATATAAAATCTCTTCTGTGGCCCCCCGACTTTGGAACTCCTTACCTGAGGAGATCAGGAAAGCCCCTTCACTAGAAATGTTTAAAAAGAACCTCAAAACCTGGCTTTTCCGCTGTGCCTTTAGTGAGTAGGTGCACAGCATGATATTTTGCACCCCTCAACGTTTTCTGCTAATGGAGTTTGTGCCCTCCAAATAGGGTGTCCAGCCTCACAACTCTGTGTTTTATGAGTTCGTTATAAACGTCCTGCTCCTATTTTATCTCATTATATTTTGTTAACTGTTTTTATCCTGAATATGTGGCCCGCCCATTGTCATCACTCCTGTGATTGTGCTTATTGGAATGTTTATTTTATGATTTTCTTTCTTTTTTCTTTTTAATGTCATTTTGATAATGTTGTTGCTGTCTGTTGTATATGTAAGCCGCTCCGAGTCCCCATCGGGGAGATGGTGGCGGGGTAGAAATAAAGTTGTTTATTATTATTATTATTATTATTATTATTATTATTATTGATATTAATATTACAATACTTATATTGAGTTTTGAATAAATCGTCCCATGTTTTGGGGGGGGGGGGTTTAATAAAATCTGACCCTCATATATGAGTATACAGAGTAGTAAGAAAAACAATAGTATTAGTATATCTTGTAGCTAAATTGTAACTTTCCACATGTTACCATGCTCAAAAGTAGCACTGACCTGCCTTAAAAGGTTTAAAGTGCATTGAAGATCAAAAAATAAGACCCAGGGTTTGGGAGATTGTTGTTAAGCCAATAGTGCAAATGCTTCATTACACCCTGATGGGAGACAATGGTTTAATTGAATGCTGGTGGTTTTTTATGGCTAATGGCTGCTTTCTACCTTTTGCTCATCTCACTTTTTTCTATCACTTTCATACTCATAAGTGTGGAATGACAGTTCAGTGGGTTCTGTTACTAGCTGATAAAGTGGAGGGAGGCCCTGGCAGCGCATTGGGTTAAACTGCTGAGTTGCTGAACTTGCTGACCAAAAGGTCGGCGGTTCAAATACGGAGAGCGGGCAAGCTCCCGCTGTTAGACCTGGCTTCTTCCAACCTAGCAGTTTGAAAAAATGCAAATGTGAGTAGATCAATAGATACCGCTCTGTTGGGAAGGTAACAGCGTAGTCATGCTGGCCACATGACCTTGGAGGTGTCTATGGACAACGCCGGCTCTTTGGCTTAGAAATGGAGATGAGCACCATCCCCCAGAGTTGGACATGACTAGACTTAATGTCAAGGGGAAACCTTTACCTTTACTTTAGAGTGGAGCTTATGGAATGAAGCTAAGTTCCATTGCATGGCAGGAAGTCAATGCTACTCTAAAGACAAAGATTGTCTTGTTTGAAGTCTGCTATATTATTTCTGGCATTGAATGGAATCACTTCCTTTGGAAAAGTTGAACCATTCAACTCATCTAGATTCTGGGAAATATGCATTGAGGGTTGGGACACTCGCTGTAAGAAAATATTTGACCTTGATCTCGGGAATCATTTCTAATGGCATCACATCACACCAAAATACCTGAGCACTCCACACTTGCTTCCCCACGATGGCTGCAGCTGTGCTGTCCCCAGGGCTTTTTTTGGCATTCGCTCAAAAAGGCTTCTTTTCCTGTGCAGTTCACTTGGTCTAACCATATGATATCGGATCCTTGTCCAAATCGTGATCCTCCAGTTGCCTTCGTAGCTGATCCACAGTCCAGTTCTCTGCACACCACCTGGGCATCATTTAAGTCCCAATCGTTGTCACAAATGGTGCCCCATTGCAGGTTGTGATATACCTCAACCCTTCCCGAACAGCGATTTAAGCCACCCACTAGACGCAATTCTGATGAGATAAAAAGAATTAAACATATTAGCAAAGCTAAAGGTGGTTCTCTGAGTATACCTTTGCCAACAACATTTTTGTGACTGAAAACGAAAAGTAATGTCAACAGACATATCAGATCTACTTAGGCCCCTTCAACACTGGCATTTAAAATCCAGATTATCTGCTTTGAACTGGATTATATGGTAGTGTAGACTCAGATGATCAAGTTCAAAGCAGATAATGTGGATTTTATATGGCAATGTAGAAGGGGCCTTAGGCCACATCTGAAAGCCATGGGCCAAGACTTGCTTTACGAATTCAAACTATGTTGCAGAAATGTAATTCAATGGTGTTAGTGAATTGCAAAGATGCGCATTTGGTTGTTGGTAAGAATGTTACAGTGCATCAGACATTTCTGGTGCACACTGGACACTTGTGATGAGCATTGAATGCCAACTGCTTTCCAACACTTCTTAGCCACTATCCAGATATGAACTGGGAGCAATAATGCCAAGTGTGAGTGTGTTTGCAAGTGTTTAGTTATAGTTGGTCCTACAGAACCCCCAAAATGTTATGTTAATGCTTTGAAAAATGAATTCATTGCAAGTAATTCATTTGTAGTGCGTTAAATCTAAGCACTGTGATACATCAGAATCTGGATAGATTGGGTGAAACCTGAATGTGTGTATGTGGAAAGAAGAGATTAGAGAAGGGATGATAGTAGGATTTGTGTGTCCTTCTTACCTGCACAAGTAACTCCAGCATCTTCTGAATGAGTACAGTCATGTTGTCCCCATTCTTTTGCTGGACATTTGCTGATTGCTTTCTCGGTCCCTGTGCAATTAACGCCATCCAACCAGATTGGACCTGTTCCTTGGCCAAAACGAGAACCTCGTGGGGCTGAGAGAGCTGTTCCGCAGCCTAAATACTGACAAACAACCTTGGCATCCTCAAGATCCCAGTCATCGTCGCAAATAGTTCCCCAAAGTTTCTCATGAAGTATCTCTACTCTTCCAGAACATTTGCTGGGGCCGTTGGTTAATCTGATCTCAGGTGATTCTAAGTAGAATGAAAAGAGAGATAAAGCAGGGACATTTCTAGAGCCATTGTGGCATTCTCGCAGTATACCTGTCCTTTCCTACTTTCTCATTGTAGCTCCAGTGTGGTGTGCTTCCAAATATGTCCCTGATGTGGTGTGACCATGTTTTGTTCAATTTTGAAACCTCTTGGGAACATATACAATGCAAGCGAATTGGCCCAAATCTGGATTGTGATACACTACTTCTTAACCATTACTGAAATTATTTTACACTTTATTATCCATATTTTTAAGGAAACTAGAAAAACCATTTTTTGCTGCCCTCCCTCCTTCTGATCCCTGACAAGCCACATGAACACATTTTGGAAATGACACCACTTCTGGTTTTGACTTTAAATTGAATGGCTTGCGGGGTGTTTGTAGAAGTTGTGAAAGGGGGCAATCCACTCAAAGTGTTATTTTTTTCTGACTGAAAGGATGGCAGTTCGAATATGGAGAGCGGGGAGAGCTCCCACTGTTAGCCCTAGCTTCTGCCAACCTAGCAGTATGAAAACATGCAAATGTGAGTAAATTAATAGGTACGACTTCTCCAGGAAGGTAATGGCACTCCATGCAGTCATGCTGGCCACTTGGAGGTATCTATGGACAATGCCGGTTCTTCAGCTTAAAAATGGAGATGAGTACCACCCCCCAGAGTATGTTACAACTACACCATGTATGGGCAAACCGAGGCCCGGAAGCCAGATGCGGCCCCTTGGGTTCTTTTCTTAGAGACTCCTCTCTCTTACCATCTTATCCTTCCTTCCTTCTCTCTTTCCTTCCTTCTTCCCTACCTCTTTCTCCTTCCCTTCCACCCTTTCATCCTTCCTTCCTTCCCTCTTTCCTTCCTCCTTCCCTTTCATCCTTCCATCCTTCCTTTCCTTTTGTCTTTCCTTTTCTCTTTCTTTCTTTCCTCCTTCCCTTCCCTCCCTCTTTCTCTTTCTATCCTTCCCTTCACCCTTTCATTGTTACTTCCCTCTCTCCCTTTCTCCTTCCTTCCCTCCCTCCCTCCTTTTTGTCTTTCCTTCATTCTCTCTTTCCTTTATCCTTCCCTTCCTTCCTTCCATCCTTCCCTTCCACCCTTCCATCCATCCTTCCTTCTCTCTCCTCGTCTTTCTCCATTCATCCTTGTTTTCCTCCCTTTCGTCCTTCCTTCCTTCTCCCTTTCTATCCTCCTTCCATCACTAGGCAGGCGGCCCTACTACAGGGAGGGCTAGCATGTGGTCCTCACGTTAGAACATTTGCCCATGCCTGGACTAGACTTAATATCAGGGTAAATCTTTACCTTTACCCCTTTGGGGTATTTCTCAACTGGTTTGTAGAGATTTCTGATTTTTTTAAAAAAATAAAATAAAATGATGTATTCAGGGTTTTTCAGAATTTTCTGGATCCTCAGGGCCAAACTAAACATGCCCAATTTCCAAATGTAGTTTTCGGCTTGGTGCTATTGCACCATGGTAAAATGAGCAGATAAGCAGGTAATCCTCCGGGATTTATCATTTCACCAGTATTTTCCATTCCCATGGCATAGTTGTCCTATCAAAGTTCCACAGATGATTACCTGTACATTCCACACCCGCATCCTTGCTATGGTCACATCTGTGCTCCACCAAGGTTTTTGGTGGGCATTTTCTGAGGGTTTCCTCATCCCCTGTGCAGTTCACTTGATCCATCCAGACAGGACCAGATCCTTGGCCAAATTTCGCTGCAGTAGTTGCCGCCAAGGCAGCTCCACAGCCAACTTCCCGGCACACAACATGGGCATCATTCAAGTCCCATCCGTTGTCGCACACAGTTCCCCATCTTTGGTTATGGAGTATCTCAATCCTGCCAGTACAAGGAGTTGAACCACCCATCAGCCGCACCTCTGTCAGAGAGAGAGAAAAAACATAATAAAGGAACATTTCCAATATAGTTAATACTAAAGCAACAGGGTTTCAGAGCATCCAGTGTTGGACTTGGGACAACATTTTTATGGCACATGAACTTAACCCAGTAGGATCAAAATTCTCAGCTTCTACCTTTGTCAGCCACCCACCTAATTTCTTGTGAATATTCACAAACAAGGTACGTGAATGGAGTCCATGCCTTTTAATCTGTTCTCAGAATCCCAGAGGTTTTCTTCCCCTGGTCAGAGATGTTGGCTGTCGCTTATTTTAAACTAGCTTGGGTACCCAGCATTGCCTGGGTTATTTGAAAAAAAATTTAATTATTGTTTTACAAAATGCATAAGGTTGTGGGTGAACTACAACTCACATAATGCCAGTTAACCCCCTGAAAATTCATTAGTTGTTAGAGTTTGGCATGATGGGCAAGTTTGCTCTAGATCAGTGGTTCCCAAGCTGTGGGCCTCCAGATGTTTTGTCTTTCAACTCCCAGGACTGATAAACTGGCTGGGATTTCTGGGAGTTGTAGGGTATTTTTATACCAATAGTCCAAAGGACAACAGAAGCTTTTGGCCAGCCTAAGCTTCACAGGAGAGAAGATTAAGACAACAGAAGCTTTTGGCCAGCCTAAGCTTCACAGGAGAGAACATTAAGACAGTTTGATCTGGCCACAGTGGTCCATGCTCTTGTTACATCCCGAATAGATTACTGCAACGCACTCTACGTGGGGTTGCCTTTGAAGACTGTTCGGAAATTAGTCCAGCGGGCAGCAGCCAGATTACTCACCGGAGTGTCATACAGGGAGCATACCACCCCTCTGTTATGTCAGCTCCATTGGCTGCCGATCCAGTTCGGAGCACAATTCAAAGTGCTGGTTTTGACCTACAAAACCCTATACGGTTCCAGCCTAGCGTATCAGTCCGAACGCATCTCCTTCTACGTCCCACCTTGGAGCTTAAGATCTTCTGGGGAGGCCCTGCTCTCAGCCCCACCTCTATCACAAGTGAGGTTGGTGGGAACGAGGAGCAGGGCCTTCTTGGTGGTGGCCCCTGAGCTGGCAAACGTTGAGCTCTAGATTGGCTTTATTGATTATGATGTATAATTGATTGTTTTAATTGTTTTAATTACTGTTTATATATGTTTATTTTTATCTTATTGTTGTGATGGCATCGAATTGTGCCTTTTGTAAGCCGCCCTGACTCCCCCCTCGAGGGTTGAGAAGGGCGGGGTAGAAGTGCGAGAAATAATAATTTGTAAGCAACAACATATAATCCATTGCTTTCCAGAAAAATGACTGCAACCAGAAAAATCTCCTTTTGTAATGTATTGTTTTAAGTTACCGTATGATAGTCCTGAGTGGAGTTAACCCTTTGTTCATCTTGTTTCAGTAACCTCATTTGGTTATCTTTTCACCTTGCCTCAAAGTGCCTCTGTCTGCTAAGGGTTTTAATCTTAACAGAAGGTACCAGCCTCCGAGTAAAGCCAGATAATATTGTTTTCTCAAAGGCTCAGGCATGCCATCACACCTCCCAAGCATTGCCATTTCTCCCCCCAAATCCTGTTTCATGGGTCTGGCATGGTTGTTATTTTTAATTAATAATTGGAAATACCAAAATTTCAAGATATCACCATTTTGTTTTTCTGTCATTTCCCTATCAAAGCAACCCAATCAGATTTTAAACACTACCTACTATCTTGCTTCCATTGCTGTTCTGATTTCATGCCTTCTATCCTTTTTAAAAGATGTTTTTGTGCCTTTTGAATTAAGTATTTTTATGTGTTGGTAACAAACCAGGTGAAGCTGTCCCTTTTGTGAATCGGTGAGTGCTTCTTTATAGCGTGTCTATCTTTTGGGTTAGCTGAATTTGTGTTTATGTGCTCTAAGCCAATCTTTTTTACTTGCTCTGAGAAGTGTAATGTGAATTAACAGTAGTTTTCAACTGTTAACTATGGTCACATTTCTGTTAACTATTACTGTTCACTTATATTTTTATCTGTTTGTTTGTTTATTGCCTGGCTCTAACAAATAAGACCCATGAATTAAAACAAAGGACATGGTTCTGCTTGTTGCCATTCCTGCTCAGATCCTACCCACAGCAGAGTATTTAATTATCTTTTTAATTATTCGTTTTTTATTCAATACTCTACTGTGGGTAGGATCTGAGCAGGAATGGCAACAAGCAGAACCTACTAAGCACTGGATGAGATAGATTTTATTTCAAGTATCAGTATTATTCGAACTTTAGAGTCACTCAGACAATGACAAAATGTGCATGAGCAAAACTATTCTTATGGTATACTAGCTGTACCCGCTACGCTTTGCTGTGGCCAACCTTCTCTCCTTCTCTCCTTCTTTCCCTCCTTCCTTCCTTCACTCCCTCTTTCCTTCCATCTTTCCTTCTCTTCTTCCTTCCTTCTCTATCTCTTTCCTTCCTTCCCCCTTTTTCTTTCTCTTCTGCTGTCTCTTTTCTTCCTTCTCTCTTTCCTTCTTTCCTTCCCTCCCTCTTTCTCTACATCTTCCCCCTTCCTTCGCTCCCTCTTTCCTTCCTTCTTTCCCTTTTTCTTTGCTTCTCTCCTTCCTTCCTTCTCTAACTTTCCTTCCTTCCCCCTTTTTCTTTCCTTCCCTCTTTCTCTCCTTTCTTCCCTTCTTTCATTTTTCTTTCCTTCTCTTCTTCCTTCCTTCTCTATCTCTTTCCTTCCTTCCCCCTTTTTCTTTCTCTTCTGCTGTCTCTTTTCTTCCTTCTCTCTTTCCTTCTTTCTTCCCCTCCCTCTTTCTCTACATCTTCCCCCTTCCTTCGTTCCCTCTTTCCTTCCTTCTTTCCCTTCTTTGCTTCTCTCCTTCCTTCCTTCTCTAACTTTCCTTCTTTCCCCCTTTTTCTTTCCCTCCTTCTTTCCCTCCTTTCTTCCTTCTCTACCTCTTTCCTTCGTTCCTTTTCTCTTTGCTTGCATGCTTCCTTCTCCCTTTCTTTCTTTCTTTCTTTCTTTCTTTCTTTCTTTCCCCCCTCCCCTCTTTCTTTCTTTCTTTCTTTCTTTCTTTCTTTCTTCTTCTTTTTCTTTCTTTCTTTCCATCCTTCCTTCCTTCTTTCTTTCTTTTCTCCCCTTCCTTCCCTCTTTCTTCCCCTTTTTTCTGTATTGTCATTTAGTTTTTTGTCATTTAGCTTTTTGGGGCTTTTTAAGTCCCTTCTGCTGTGTTTTTCAGTGTTTTTTTATGAGTGAAGGACATACATTGGGTTTTGAGGTGTCTTGTGTCCAAATTTGGTGTCAATTCCCCCAGTGGTTTTTCAATTCTGTGAATAGCACAAATGAACATTACATTTTTATTTATATAGATTGAGTATATACATGGTAATTGTTACCTGAGGTCTATGGAACCGGATGAGAATATTGTTGAAGCATACAAGGAATCAGTGAGTGTGTGTGTGTGTCAACTGTAAAATAAGATGCATGAAGCTGATTGGTTGGGCAATGTCAGGGGAGATTGCTGGGCCTGGGACTTTTGGATACTGTTACATTTTTGTTCAGGCTTGAGCTATGCAAGCTGATTGGTTGGGCAATGTCAGGGGAGATTGCTGGGCCTGGGACTTTTGGATACTGTTACATTTTTGTTCAGGCTTGAGCTATTCAAGTGCTCAAAGAGATGAAGAGAGAAGCAGAGAGAGAGACAGAGTTTGGAGTGTGTTCTCACACATCATGAGCTGCTGAAGGAATTTATCCACATGGACAAAGAAAGACAATTTTAAATCTCTCATAAAAAGGACATTATATGAATTGGTGCAACTGATCACATTGTACATATGTTGTTCTGGATTTACAAAGAGTAAATTACTTGTTCTTTATTGTTCACCTGCGTGGCATATTTTCTTTCCCTGGCAAGGCAGTAAGTGGGCTGATCCAATGTAAACTACATGCGGCTTGTTTTACCTTAATGAACAAATATGAATATATGTTCATTGTTTAAAAGGATGTTCTCAGGGTCTAGATTTGTATGCAACCGTAATGTCTGCTTCTTGGCCCTGGGCAAATAATATTGCAATTGCAGCATTTCTCGCACAGCACAAATTATAGACCTCACTAAATAATACAGGCCATGAAGAGCTGTCAGCTATTGTCAAGATGGAGTTTATAAGGCACACTACTATAGAGCAGCATGCAGCTGAAATTTTTAGATTTTCTTTTATGCCAACATTAAAGCTTCAATACTTTAAAACAATATAAAATCATTCAATATCTTGACAAGAATGACTTAAAATGCAATACATAGACTTTTGACTTACTGTTAACTCCTACTGCAGCTCACCTACCTGAGCAGACAACACCAGCATCTTCTCCGTGGTGGCAGTCATTTTCTCCCCAAGACCTTGCTGGGCATTGACTGAGGGCTGATTCAGTCCCTGTGCACCGGACTTCATCCAGCCAAATGCGGCCATCACCTCTTCCAAAATGTGCAGTACGTGTCGCAGCTACTGCGGTTGCACAACCCAGTTGTCGGCAGACGACTCGGGCTTCCTCCATACCCCAGCTGTCATCACAGACTGTGCCCCACACCCCGTTATGGAGCACCTCAACCCTCCCACTGCATCGACTTGAACCATTCACAAGCCGGATTTCAAGCTGCTCTGCCTCTGGAGTCCCGGTGCTCCAAGCTATACCTAGGGAAATGAATTGTAGAGAGAATGTCAGGAATTAGGAGGAACAGAAACTTTCTTGTGTTTAAAAGAGCAACAGAACCTAAAAGGCAAATAGGGCAAAAGGAAATAAGTACTGTATTGCTACATCAAAACCAGTCATATCCAGTCCAGCATTCTTTGTCCAACAACAGTGAGCACCAGTTTCTCTGGATAATCACAAGCATGACATGATAGTGGTAGCCATCCACTTTCCAAGTTTCCCCTGTCTGGTACCATAAAGATGATGCAGAATCATAGAGCTGAAAGAGACCTCATGGGCCATCCAGTCCAACCCCCTGCCAAGAAGCAGGAAAATCGCATTCAAAGCACCCCCGACAGATAGCCATTCAACTTCTGTTTAAAAGCCTCCAAAGAAGGAACCTCCACCACTCTCCAGGGCAGAGAGTTCCACTGTTGAACGGCTCTCACAGTCAGGAAGTTATTCCTAATATTCAGATGGAATCTCCTTTCTTGTAGTATGTAGCCATTGTTCTGTGTCCTAGTCTCCAGGGCCGCAGAAAACAAACTTGTTCCCTCCTCCCTGTGGCTTCCTCTCACATATTTATACCTGGCTATCATATCTCCTCTCAGCCTTTTCTTCTTTGGGCTAAACATGCCCAATTCTTTAAGCTGCTCCTCATAGGGCTTGTTCTCCAGACCCTTGATCATTTTAGTCACCCTCCTCTAGACATATTCCATATCTCTCTTCAATTGTGGTGCCCAGAATTGGACACAGTATTCCAGGTGTGCTACACTGCTGTTGCCATCATTCCCAGCCAATGAACATCATAGCCCAAGGATATCTGGAGGGCACAACAATGGAGAAGGCTGCTATCTTCTTCATTCTACTATCATTTTGTGTCACTTCCTGGGTTTCTATTCAGATTTTCCCCCAGCTGCCCATTTGTATATGTACAAATATGCAAGGATGGCCACATCAAAACACCACGTATAAATGTATACCCATTACTAAGCTTTATGGATGCTCTACTTATTTCTTCTCATCTTCTCTGTGTTTATATTGTCCCTTCATTGTTTCCACTGATCTCCCTCCCCACACAAGCTGTTTCATTCTCACCCAAAACAACTAATTGTGCTATTTAGCCTAGTCTACGCTGGCTGATAAATCTGGGTCCAGTCCAGGTCAGAAATGCTCCAGATTGACCTTAGAGGCAGCCACACAGAGCTTTCTGAACCCATTGTGGCAGTAGGTTAGAGTCCACATTGGCCGGAAAGGGTAAGATTGTCTCGGACCCACTGAACCATCACTCCAATGTCCATGTCACCCTCACTGCTCCAAGCCAACCTCACAGCTCCATGTGAGGTCCTATAAAGGTGGGATCCAATCTCCCTGCCTTCTTTCTGGTCGTGTGGGCACCTTTGTTGATGTCAGGATGAGGTGTCCGCAGTGGGCAGGAGCTGACAATAGTGGCAAGATATATAGATAATAATAATAATAATAATAATAATAATAATAATAATAATACCCTGCCACCATCTCCCCGATGGGGACTCGGAGTGGCTTACATGAGGTCAAGCCCAAATAGCCATTACAATAAAGAAAAAACCAAAACACAAACACAAACACAAACACAAACATGAACAATAACAATAACATCATATTAACATAAAACATATGCATACATAACAATATAAAAATTACAATAAGCACAAGCACAATAACAATATATCTACAGATATATAGATATATATGATGGCTTTCTTCTGCATGTCTATTATGCAATTATCTCATATAATGGGAAATCCATTTCCCAGACTCCCATTCTGTATCTTTGCATTTCATTTTTTCTGCCTAAGTGGAGTATCTTGCATTTGTCCCTGTTGAATTTCATTTTGCTAGTTTTGGCCCATCTCTCAAATCTGTTTTGAATTATTCTCCTGTCTTCTGGGGTATTGGTTACCCCTCCGAGTTTGGTGTTGTCTGCAAACTTGATGTGTGTAACTTGGGAACTAACTGTATTAGATTATATTTCTCCTTGTCTATAGGCAACATTTTCGAATCAGCTTGCATGCCTGGGTTGCCGTTGGGGGGCACGTTGACAAATCATGCACACACTGTTTTTGTTGTGCAAATATATCTTGCACAATGCCATTATTAGGAAATGTTGAATTTTCAAAGAATTTACTCATCCTTTTTCTCTCTTTGAAATATCTGAAAAAATGATCAGAACTTCCAATGACTCATCCCTTTGCTTTTGCCTGAGCCCAATGGAAAAGGGAAAGATTCTACTCCCTGGAAATTTACAAGGTCTTTGGTATTCTCTGCAAAAAGAGAGCTGGTGCCTCACCAAACTACAGCTCTCAAGACTCCATGGTATTGGGCCATGGCAGTTCAAGTTGTGTAAAATTGCATTCATCCTACAATATAGATGTACCCTAAGTTTGAAGCTTCTTTGAAAAAGAAGTTACTATGGGTTTTTCAAAAACAAGTCATGCTAAACTAATCTTGCCTCTTTTTTCTATAGAGTTACAAGCTTGGTAGATGCAGGGAATGCTGTGGATGTAGAATATCTTGATTTCGGTAAGGCCTTCAACAAGGTTTCCCCGTGACCTTCTTGTAAACAAACTAGTCAAATGTGAACTAGGCAATGCTACTATTAGGTGGATCTGTAATCGGTTAAGTGTCCGAACCCAAAACGTGATCACCAATAATTCAACTTCATCTTGGAAAGAAGTGACTAGTGGAGTGCTGCGGGGTTTGGTCCCTGCCTTCTTCCTGGTTATAACTAAGGCTGCCTCTACAATGTAGAATGAATGCAATTTGACCCCACTTTAACTGCCTTGGCTCCATACTATGGAATCCTGTGGTGGGTTGTTGTTCAGTGAGACATCTGCACTCAATATTTTATAATACTACAGATCCCATGATTCCATAGTATTGATCTTAATCCAATCAAGTTCATTCTTTTCCAAGCTATCCTTCCTACAAGCATTTGTAAATTCAAAATCTTTCTAAATTTGGGATTAATATTGTTGGAGGTTGTAAATGTAAATAAACAGGAGCTTTACCACAGTTTCTGAACCAAAATATACCCTGCAGTATAATAAAGTGTCACTTGGGCTTGTGTAACAAGTAACAGTATCTTTACTTCCGTTCAAAAGATCAAACAAGGCAACAATATATACAGCAGTCTCTCTAAATTCACACAGAGAACAGAGGGAATAAACAGTCCTTTTAAACAGTCTTTGAAATATGCTTCAAGCCTTAGAAATGATCAGGCTTCAGAGAGTTGGCAGCTATTTCCTTCCTTGCTGTTTCAAGTCAGCGCTCTCTTCACTCTCCAAGGTGAAAGTGGCAGCCAATCAAAACCCTGGCTCCTGGCATGCTCAATCAATCTGCTGCCGACACATGTCTTTCCAGTAAACCCATTTACATCATAGTGTCTTTTCACAAATCTCCACAAATATGCCATACTGCAACTGTGAACTAAAACAACTAATTTGAATCTCATAATTTAAAACATTGTAATTCCCTGCACTTGAAAATCTAAAAGAAAAGAAGAAATAACTTTGCCAAAATACAGAATGAAAAATGTAAAAAATTGTCACTCATTGAACAAGTAAACAAGAAAATACACAAATTCCTCAATTAATTTCATGCTCAATTTTTAACTTAGTATCACTTTAGTTTAATAAAGCTATCCCTTCCTGTCATAAATGGCTATCTTAAAAGATATTTCTTCCTAAACTTAGTTACCATATACTATAAGTTGACCTCATGTATAAGCCGAGGGCATGTTTTGGAGCCAAAGTTATGGATTTTCAGACAACCTGTGGATAAGTCCAAGGTAAGGATTCTATTTTTCAATCTGTTTTCAAGTGTTTATGCTTGCTTGAGCTGTGCACAAAATATTGATCACTGGCATGTTCTTGTTTGAGCACACAGAAGACATCAAAGCCTACTGGGGCAAAGAGACACTCCAGCAAATGTTGGCATATCAAGTTATTATATTATTTACTCTGCCACAGGAATACAATCCTGATAATTCTGTTTTTCCTTCTTAAGCATTTCATGTCACACTCAAGAGAATTGCTTTCTATCACCTAAAGATGTGTTCGTTTACAATAGAGGAATAATCATACTTAGGATCCAATTGCCTCTAACCAACACAACAACCTACTGGTAAATATAGAAGCTTTATTTTCTCATAGAGTGGAAACTCCTGTGATGAGAGAGATCAGGAAAGGGAGGTTTGAGAGATCTCAGGCCGCATCTAGGTCCATTCTACAGTGCCATATAATTCAGATTTTCAAAGCGGATAATCCACATTATTTGCTTTTAACTGGATTATATGGATCTACACTACCTGTGCTGTCACACGCTGGGCCTGTAGCAATTGTCTATTAACAGCACATGATCTTTATGTGCCCAGCGGGACACCGGGGTGCCTCGGCTGAGAGGTCCTATGAATTTCCCTATACTAAGTCTTTAGAAGCTTGGAAAGTTTAACAAAGTTCTTTATTGGTGCAACAAATCAGTCAAATACTTCTTAGATCTTGAACAAATCAACCAAATATTTCTTAACTTGTCCACACTGGACAGGCAACTTGCTTCATGAACTGTTTCTTTCTTCTATGAGGGAAATCCTTTTGACCCCTCCCTGGGCAATCTCTTTTAGGCTTAGCTGGCGTGGGGCCCTACTCCCGGTTCCAATTTGCTTTATGGGTACCCGAGTAGGCCTTACCAGCTAAAACTCTGAAGATTTTCCAGCTGGAGTCCTTTGGATTTTTTCCACAAATGCTGTGGATCTGTTTCTTTAATCCCAACAATGGCTGTGCTGTATTTCTTAGTAAAGCTGTGAGAATTGTCTTCCCCAGCCAAGCTTGTAAGAAACGAAGTTTTTCTACAGGAGGGAAAAACTCACACGTCCTGTAGTTGGGCTTCAAACTGTAAGATTGAACAAACTGTCTCCTTTTCCCTCCTGAGCCTGGGGAAAAGGACGGTTCCAAAAGACCTAACA